TAGAGCCCACAGGGAACATACCCAAGTTATCAATAATACGATGTGGAGGATTATAGAGCTCCCAAAAATGTTGAGTAATGGTAGATACAACCTCGGATCTGGAGGGCAGGGAAGCAGAAGCAAGAAGGTTAACCACAGAGTTGGAGTTACCCCTCCTACATCTAATTTTGCCATATAGGAATTTGAGATCATTTTCCCCTTGTTTCAACCACTTCACTTTAGCCCTTTGGATGATCCAAGATGCGTGCATTTCAGAAAATACAGCAATTCTAGCATTAACATCTTTTAAAGAAAGATTGAAAACAGTGTTATAAGGGTCAGCATGCAACCTTTCTAAAAGATACATTTGATTTTTTTGCAAAGCATCCATATGTCTACTAACAGAATTGTAAGAGGACCAAGACTCACTCTTAATGCTAGCTTTAAGACTCCTTAGACTGTTGCAAAGATGGGGAAAAGGATTACCAGTAACCAGTTCCGAGAAAGCCTTTAAAAGAATATTCCAAAACCCATCAATACTGGTCCAATAGTTTTTAAAGTGAAATCTGTGCCTCACCTGATTAGTCATACCAGAATGTACAATAATCGGACAGTGATCTGAGCAAGAGGAAATTTGAAGAGAATAAAAAGAATCAGGAAATTCTTTCAACCAACTATCATTCACAAGCACTCTATCTAGCTTAATGTGAATAGGATTATCAGATCGCTGATTATACCAGGTGAATTTCCTACCAACTGAGTGGAGATCCATAAGAGAATTGGTGAAGATCATGTGATTGAAATCAGATAGGGCTGATTGAGTTAAAGGTGAACCACCTAGCTTATCAGAGGCAAAACGACAATAATTAAAATCCCCTAGAACCGCCCAAGGAGAATCAACCATAGGGGAAATATTACCAATAATGTCCCAAAGTTCCTTGCGATCATTAGCACTGTTAAAAGCATAAATGACAAAGAGGTGGAAAATAACCTTGGAGGCAACAGTAACATACCCGGAAATAATCTGAGAGGATATAAGAGTGGGATTAAAATTCAATTTATTACCATCCCATTTAATCCATATCCTACCTGAAGAAGAGGTTGCAAAATTGTGACAGCTTTTCTCATTAGAGAAGACGGTATGAGAAATTTCAAAAAAAGGGTCTTGAAGAGCTTGGGAGTGAATCCTATTCTCCAAAATACACAACATATCCAGTTTGAAAGACTGAGAGAGACATTTGCAGCAATGGACTTTGTCAGGATGATTAAAGCCGCGAATGTTCCATACGGCTAAAGATGGGAAAGACATTATGAGTTGGTAGAGTGGGGCTTTTTCCCCTGCTTCCCCTTCACAGTTTTTTTAGAAAAAACCAAATTGTCTTGTTTAGACTTTTCCTTTTGTTTCTTCTTTTTGCTCCTATCTTCTAGCTGTTCCATGCCAAACAAAACATCCTCTACTAAAATGAGATCTTCCTCCACATTTAACACATTAAATTTGTTGGGGGAAGTGACCGAATTTTCTTTTTGGCTTGCAAAAAATTGAATTTTCAAAGAGTTGGAAGAGGTGGAAGCAACCTCCTCCTCATTAGGAGAGTTAAGATTAGGAATCTCTATCCCTTTTAGGTCCGAAAGGGGAATGTCAGCGTTCGGATTAACAACCAGGTTGCCAGAAAAGGTGGGCTCTTGGACATTTGGTGGAGTTGGGGAATGTGGTTGGTAGTGTAGAGGTTGTCCTATGATGTTAATAGGAACATTAAGAGAAGAAGAAGGGGGAAGGTTGAAAGGGGAAGAGACGGGAGTAGCTCTCTGATTTTGGTCGTATTTGGGCGGCCTTGACATGCTCAAATTTGTGTGATTCTTCCCTTTTCTGCTAGCACTCCTACCCCAGTTGTTTTGCATTTCATTAACCTGCACCTTTTCCCCAGAGACCACTTGTTTTAACGGGCAAAGAGAAGATTGGTGCATAAGGGACTTACAGTGGTCACATGGATATGGCCTCCATTAGTATTGCACCTTCAAGCTAACGACATCCCCATCTAGGGAAACCTTTATTTCTTCCAGATATGCAGCATTACAATCCACAAGAACACAAATCCTGGCATAGGTGAGGCGAGTCTTTTGCTCAGTCAAATTATCTGCAGCCAACGGTACTCTAATTTTACTAGCGATTCTAGAAATTCCCTCTGAATTCCAACATGCAAGAGGCAAATCGTGAATTTTCACCCATATAGGAACAAAATCAAAATTATCTCTCGTTGGCTTGAATTTGGGATGCCATTTTTGAAGAATAAATGGACGACCCAGCAGGAACCAAACACCACGAGACCAAACCATTTCGAAATCTTTCGAACAAGAGAATCGAATGAGTAAAAAACCATCACTCAAAGATAGTAGATTTACCGAACCTTTTAGAATCCATGTTCTCTTAATGGCGCCCAGTAGAGATTCGTAAAACGGCCTCCTGCCTATGGAGTATCCAACCAAACACAATCTCGAGTCCTCACCGCCCTTGGACAGGATTTCATCTGAGAAAGGAACAATCTCCGGATCCGAAGGGAAATGCGAAAGGTTGAGAGCTTTAGGAACTGAAGAGGCATGAGCAAAAACCCTGTTCCAATCCTTCGGAGTGAGCTTTGCAATTTTACCTGGAGACTGGACAAGCAGAGGAAAATCCACGAAGAGGAGTCCAGCCTCCATGCTAGCAGAGGAAGAGAAGTCCTCCGGCAGAGCCGGAGGAGGGAAAAAAAGGAAAAGAAACCCGGGAGAGGTGGCGGCGGCAGAGAAAGGAAACCCTAGCGCACTTCCGTCCTGTCAAGTGCCTTTTCTTTTTTTCTGATGTGAGGCTTTTAAATGTTTAGTTGTTAATAAAATAAAAAATGAAGCACCTCCATGTTGAAAATGAGGAAGGGTGAGGACGAGCCAGGGTACCAGCATGGTGACATTGGAGCATAGGTGACTATTTTTGAAATATAAAATATAATTAATACTTGAACAATGTTCTCTCCAAAATAATAAAATTGTATATGCATATTAATTTAATTTTTTATTAAAAAAAGGAAATAAATAAACATTTTTCTTAATAATGTTGACCTACACGCGAGGTTTAAAAAAAAATCCTCCGAAATCCAGCGTAAACCCATGTAACAATTTGGCGCCATTCGCATCTCTTTGCTCAAATACTGCGCAAATACAGTGGCCTTAATCAAAAGTTCTCTCTCGTTATTGGGAAGGGTAATTAATTATGGGGACTTGTTGACCACTGCTGGACTTCTTCTTGAACACCACCAAACTTCTGTCTGTTTGTTGACCACCGCTGGAATTTTTCCCGACCATCGTCGGACTTCCGCCCGTTTATCAACCACCACTAGATTTCTTCCCGATCACTGTTGGACTTCGGCTTGCTCGTCGACCATCGTCGGACTTCCGCCCAATCGTCGAATACCGCCGGAATTCTTTCCGACCACCGACGTACTTCTACTTGTTCGTCGACCACCGACGTACTTATTCTTGTTCGTCGATCATGATTGAAATTCCGCCTGTTTGTCAACCACTGCCGGAGTTTTTCTTAACCACTTAGGACTCCTTTGGAAAAGTTTTTCATTGCAAGACGGACTTATTTTATCAGTCTTTACCTTCCCATGTGTGAATAAAGGCAAGGACAAGTTTTAGTGGTGGTGGAAAAGGGTCTCTAATGGCATCCAAATCGCCCAAGTACTTTGAATGTTATGAAAATGTATGTATTTCAAGAATCTAGAAAAAATTATAATTTGAATTATTTGTTTCGTTGTAAGATAAATATAATAATTTATTTTCTTAAATGTTTAGTTGATTATAAAGAATAAAAAAAAATAAAACACCTCCATGTCGAAAATGTGGAAGGGTGAGGAGGAGCCAAGGTGCCATCATGGTGATATTGGAGCATAGGTGAATATTTTTGAAATATAAGATATAATTAATACTTGAACTATGTTCTCTCCAAAATAATAAAATTTTATATGCATATTGATTACATTTTTTATTTTAAAAAATAAAATAAATAAACATTTTTTTTTTCAATAATGTTAAAAAAAAATCCTCCAAAATACAGCGTAAACCCCATGTAACAATTCAGAGCCGTTCGCATCTCTTTGCTCAAATCCTGCACAAATCGCGACTCTGCCTTCGTTGATAAAACAAGAGCTAAATAGCCCTCTAGTTTTTCGTTTCTCCCTTGCGCACGAGCTCCCCAGTCATCCGAACTCCCTCTCCCTTGTTTGTATCTTCCGAGCCAACTGAGCCCTCTACTGCTGTCAAAATCCTCAACCAATCCAAACTACAGCCGACCTCCACCTACTTGCAAACTTCACCCTATCCGATCTCTACTTTACACAAGTCCCAAGACCCACGCTTACCTTCGATCCATCCTCCTTTCATTGTGCAGACTTCCACCTTGCCTACACTACCTCCACCTTGAGACTTCGAGAAGACCCATCTTCACTATGCCGATTTCCACAATGCCAACCTTCGATTTATCACTCCCCCCACCATCTACTTTAAGTGCAAGATGGTAAAATTTCAAATTTTAAATATCAAAATTTTCAAATGCCAAATCATGCTGCTACTATATGCCAGATACATGCTGAGTATCTAATTGACAACTGGCCTTAATCAAAAGTTCTCTCTCGTTATCGGGAGGGGTAATTAATTATAGGGGCTTGTGCCTATAGGAAACCAGAACTCAGATCTAAAGTCCAACAAAATGAGGGTGGAATCTCTAGGTAGTGTCTTATTTCAAACTCAATCTGCCTTCTGAAAATTTACACAGGAGCTTAATATGTCAAAACTCTCCGGAAAGAGGGAAGGCCAAATGCTTTCTCCGATTGATCAAATTTTAGATATATTTAAAAAACATATCATTCTAAAAAAATTATTAATGGAAGTAAAAATAATGAGAGTATTCTCAGATGCCACCTACTAAATATTCTCCTTCTTCCTGTCCTGCTTTTACTGTCCTTATCCTGCTTTTACTTTATGAAAGCAAACTCATATCATGCATGTGAGAGATCAAATGCCTGAGATAATATGAGCTTGTAAGAAAGAGCTGCCTTTCATCTTCAATTATTGATTGAGTGGTTCTTCACAGATTGAGAGAGGTAAGTAGTTCCTTCACCATAGATATTTCTTGCTCATCTAATTTTGTGACAGTGTAATCGTTTGAGTATACTTAAATTTGTTTCTTCGATTCTGATTTCTCGATTAGAGCTTTGGAATTTTGATTTATCAGTTAATTAGTTTTGTATCTTAAATATAGTTTTAATTTTGGTCTCATAGACTGAGACTGCACAGACCACATCAGAGATCAAATACTTGAGAAAAAATGGAGCTTTGAAGAGCTGCCTTCCCTGCTCAGGTATTTATTTATTGCTCCTTGTCAATTTTTTTTTTTTGTTTTTGGCCTTCAATTCTCATTTGTGATTTTAGAAATATAACCTTGAAATCTTCTTAACTGGGGGTGTTATGTCCGCTTGATAGTTTAGTTTCTAAAATAATGTAACTATTTACTTATTCAAACTCTTACTTCATTCAACCTATATCAATCACACATTTTATATTTAAATCAAATCAATTCAGATCATATTCAAATAATCCCTAAAATAAAATTAATTTTGCAATTAGAAATTAATCAAAATCTTATAAAAGGATGATAAATGCCCAATAAAGTTTTATAAACTAATAAAATCATAACTAACAATATACTAAATAAATTTATCAATAAACTCTATACTTTCACCTCCAAATTCAATAAATTGCCCAATTGGTCTGTAAATTGAGAAATTCATATAAAATACAATAAAAATTAGAAAAATACAAAATATTATTTTATAAACTTATAAAATTACAAAAAACAATAAACTAAATAAATATCTCAATTAATATCACATATGCACTTCCAAATTAAAAAACTTCCTAATTAATCTAGAACTTAAGAAATTCATCAAAAAAATTAATAAAAGTCCAAAAAATCTGAATTTTTTTTTTGGAACTTATAAAATTATAACAAATAATAGCCTGCATCCACTAGAGAAAAACTAATTCAAAAAATAATCTTTCTTTATAAGTCAATTAAAAGTGGAATAAAAGATGACCAATGGCTAATATTTAAATGGAAAGTATATATAATTGGAATTACAACCTACAAACTAATAGTAAAGTTGATCACCCACACATCCTAGAACACATTAATTATACATTATTTAGGCCATCAATCTTAAACATTTTAGATTATGATATTTATACTTTATTTATATGCATCTTACTTATATTTTTTATCTTTTTGTATGTTGTGTTGTGCTTTATTTTTCATTCTATTATAAATATTAAATCATTAACTTTAAACTCAAATCCTAAAATTTAAAATAGAACTCACCTGATTATAACTTTGATCAAAACCGAAACTAAAGCCTTCAGTTAGAGAATTGAACAATTAAACTAGAATATTGACTGACATTTGAAACCTCATGAGTTATACGCATTAAATCTTTCTAATTTTTCGCAGAACCAAAATAGATGTGATACAGATATTTGCATACTAGCATAGGACAACCTAAAAATAGAGTGATATTAGTGTTTTAGGAGAATTATTTTGAGCTTGTTTGTTCGTGAACAGGCTTATTTGATAAAGGTCATTTATTTAAAGCTCAATAAGAGAAAATAAGCTGAATATAAATCAAATATGATGATCTACTATTTTAAATAAATCAAATTTTAATACAAATAGAAAAAAAAAGTTCAAATCGAGCTTAAAGTAGCTATAATATCTTTCTCAAATATTCTCAAATTATCTTTCTCCGTCCTATATTCCTATTTTTACTTTATGAAAGCAAAATCATTTCATAAGATAATTTGAGCTTGTAAGAAAGAGCTACCTTTCCTCTTCAATTATTGAGCGAGTCATTCTTCACCGAGACAGAGGTGATTAGCTCCTTCACCTCTGCAATTTTATCATCATCATCTAATTTGGATTTTATAAACTGTCTGCACAGACCTCATCAGATCAAATACTTGAGAAATTTGGACCTTTGATGAGCTGCTTTCCCTTCTTGATTATTTATTTATTGCTCCTTCTCCATAGAAGTAATTAGTTCTTTCGGCTTGGCGTTAAGTTGTACTTTTGTTCGCATATAGTTCTTATGTGCTACTGTAAGTATGAATTGTGATTTGATTGTTTTTGGACTCAATACTCATTTGTGATTTTATATTGTTTTTTGTGTGCATAGAAAGGAACGAGAATCTGCAGAATCAGCTTTAGCTCATCTCTTTGCATTCAATTGATTGCTTTCAGCTGCAACAAGTATTTTAAACAATTTTTGTCTCATGAATCTCTCGCAACTCTCCTTATAACATAATGGAATATTATATCTTACTATACAATTTAATGATGCATGGCGGCAGGGATATTTGATTCTAATCATTGGACGAAGCCATGGCAGATATTATTGCTATGTTTGGCAGATGGGCGAAGTCAGGGTTATTGTCTCTTTTAGATGGATCTTCATCTTCATCTTCATCAGCGGAACCTACACGAGGAGGCCATGCTTTTGATGAGTTCCAGAGGATAATGAGAATGCTGCCGAGGATCAAAGCAGTGCTTGAAGATGCGGAGGAAAGGGAGATACAAGACAGATCTGTGAAGTTATGGCTTTCAGAGCTCAGGTGCTTGGCTTATGACATTGATGATGTAATCGATGAGTATGAGTATGATGTCCAGGCAGCCCAGATGGAAGTCAGAGTTGCAGAAGAGTCTTACCACCGTGTAAAGCACAAGCGAGGAGATGATGAACATTATGATCAAGATGAGCATGTGGAAGGTATTAATACATTAGCATTCTCATCTTCTCAAGTTCCAGCAATTTCTTATTGCATGGTTGAGAAGCTAAGGGAGATTCAGAAAAAATTCGATCACATTGAAAGGGATCGAAAGGGACTCCATTTAAGAGAGGATGATGGCGTGAGGCGAACTGCTAGTGCTCAAAATTATCGGCTTACCAGCTCTCTTGTCGATGAATCAAATATAATCGGGAGAAAGAGAGAGAAAGAGAAGATAGTGAAGTTATTGCTCTCAGATTTACAAGTGAGCAATAAAATTACAGTTATCCCAGTAGTTGGCATGGGGGGTGTGGGGAAGACAACGCTTGCCCAACTCATTTATAACGATCCTAGAATTTGTCAGTATTTTGATCTCCGTATATGGATCTATGTTTCTGAGGATTTTCATCTTGTGAAATTAACCAAAGAGATATATAGATCCACAACTAACAAATCATGTGAGGAGGACGTTGGATTCGATTATCTTCAAGATTCCATAAAAAAAGAACTGATGAAATTTAAAAGCATATTTTTGGTGTTGGATGATATGTGGAATGAGAATCAATGTCTCTGGGAGTCCTTCCTAATCCCCTTACACAGTGCAGGTATTGTGAATATTTTGTTCACAACACGTAATAAAAAGGTTGTGGATGTCATCCGGACTACAAACATCTTTCATTTGGGCTTTCTTTCTGAAAATCAAGGTTGGTGCTTGTTCCAACAACGTGCATTATGTGATGATGAGAATCTAATGAAGATTGGCCAAAAAATTGTAAACAAATGCGGTGGATTACCTTTGGCTATAAAACTACTTGGGAGCCATCTCCGATTTGAAAAAGATGAAGATAAGTGGATGTGCATCTTAGAAAGCGAGCTTTGGGACTTGGATCCAGGGACAAATGAAATTTTTCCTGCTCTTAAACTGAGTTATCAAATGCTGCCAATTCACCTGAAGCCATGCTTTAGGTATTGTTCTTTATTTCCTAAAAAGCGGATTCCTGATAAAAATCACCTAATATGGTTGTGGATGGCACAGGGTTATATCCAACCAAAAATAAGAGGCAAGACTATGGAGGAGATTGGTAGAGAGTATTTTGATGAACTCTTGGGGAGATCATTATTTCAAGCAACAAAATATGGAAACAATTTTGAGATGCATGACTTGGTTTATGATTTGGCAGTTTCTATTTCTAACAATGAGTTCATCATTATGAAATCAGAGGGTGACAACCAAAATAATTGCAGATCAAATAATGCTCGCCACTTAGCTGTACATGATGAACCAACAAATAATGAAGCACTAAAAGGCATTTTAGCGTTCCCATTTCTTAGCAGGCTTGTTGCTCTTCGTTCTATATTTTGTTATGATCGGAGAATAATCAATGATTTTCAACTTTTGGATTCAACACGCTTGCGAGTACTGCATATTGAGATCAATCAATTTGATTCAAACTTTTCAAAGTTTAATGGTTCAATTGCCTCAATGAAGCATTTACGCTATCTTTTCTTTTGTAGTTTAAATTTAAGGGCTCATCATTGGACCAAAGTTGCTCTTCCAAGCTTATTCAATTCATTACATAGTATTGGTAATGTGCAAGTGTTGGACTTATGTCATTATGATGATCCTATAATCTTACCATCAAGCATAAAAAATCTCATCAACCTTCGACATTTAATTCTACCGCATGGTTCTGTCATGCCATGTGGGATAAGCAAGTTAACTTGTCTCCAAACATTAAAATGTGTAGTTGTGAAGGATGGAGATCATGAAGGTGGTGGACTAGGTGAGATAGAAGACTTAGCCAGCCTTACAGGTAATTGTTGTATCAGTGGTATAGCTTATGCAAATAATGTTGAGGATTTCAAGAAGGCAAATATTAACGGGAAGAAGCATATTAGGGGACTACTCATAGATTGGCAGAATTTGACATGTTACGATAAATTTGATGTTCACATATATTTTGATGCAAAGAATCAAGTAAAGAAAAAAAGTTTTGAGTTGGAAGAGGTTAAACTTGAGGCATTGCGGCCTCACAACAACCTCAAAGCATTAGAGATACATAATTACCCTGGGATGCTATTCCCGTCATGGCTTGGTGATCCCTCGTATTCTAAGTTACAAGATATAACTCTTCAAGGGTGTAATAAATGGGATGGATCAGGTAAAGTGCTGGATAGAGATCTCCCATGTCTTCAAAGTATTTCCATCATTCAATGTGGTATGTTAAAAAATATAGAAGTAGTGCAGTCATCCTCACTTAAAAGACTAGTTATTAGATCTTGCCTGCAAATAACATCATTGCATTGGCTATGTAGTTTGCATAGACTTGAAAAGTTAGAAATCAGGATTTGTGATAATCTCTTTTTCTCTGCGGAGGAGATACTTCCTTCTACGTTGCAATTTGTATGTTTCGAAGATTGCTTTAAGTTGACATCAATACCAGGCCTGCAAAACCTTCCTTCACTTAAGGAATTGAAGCTAAAAAGATGCCCGAGCCTTGAACTCACTTTGGAAGAAAAGCTTTCAACCATACCTAGTGTTTTGGAGATTGTTGATTGCCCTCGATTAAAAATATGGTGCCTAAGATATAGATTCAAATACTTTCAGGTATGCTTAATTAGTCCTCAAATTCTTTGTTTTTCTTTTGATTATCATTTCTTGAACTACCCATTGCCAACAAAATTTTATAATATTTTATTTTACTGCTTTGGCTATCGTTAAAAAAAATATTCAAGTGAAGAAGAGCTCTCGTTCCTCATAAAAAATGCCGATCCACTTTGTCACATGTCATCATGAATGCTTTTACTTTATAAAAAAGCCTTCTCTAATTGCATTATTTATAATTTATAACAAAGTTATATTCATCACCTAAAAATTGTTGCATCTCTTATATATGAACTGTTATCTTAATTATATGTGCATTATTTCCGTACAATGTATTGAAAATAACCAATATATGTTTCCATAGTTCAATTCCAGCTTTCATTTTGAAAATAAAGAATATTAAATTTAAATATTAATTAGTTTTATTTTTTTTAGCAATTACTTGATTGATTTATATATATATCTGCATGTGTAATGATTAGGCTTAATCTAAAATTATATCTTGGTCGAGACAAAGTCCTTCACAATATGCGAGTCTATAAGTTTAGAATATTAATATAAATATTGCAAGTGACAATTATACAATGATTAATCTTGTATTATTTTTTGTTTAGCAAATATATCCTTTTTAGAGCTATGATGGAGCTGATGAAGAATCATCTAGGGGATCAACTGATTATTCCGACTATCACATGCATATGGTCACTGTAGGAAAGAGAAATGTATTCTTAGGAGGGAATGGTAAGCCAACAAGTTGCTACCCAGAAAGCAGTGCTGGAGCATATCCAAAAATCACAAGCGGACATACAAATGTAGTATCCTTAGATTATGGAGAAGCTTCAGAGGAGGGAGCAGTACAATGGAAAACAACCTGCAGTGACAGAGGAGAGTGAGGATATAGATTCTAAGTAGATTGTTTGTGATTATAATTAATTTGTGTTGTTGGTATTTGAATGTATAAGAACTCTATGATTTATTGCATGCGTGTTTGATAATTGTAGAACTGTTGAACTTTTGTACTTTTTAAAAATATTTTTTCTACAATGTTGAAATATTAGCTTATGTTGTGAGTATTTCTTATTACTTATATATTGTTTCAATGTAGAATAATTGATACAAGAGTCTGTTTCTTTTTATCTCAGCTACAAGTTTCTAGTGGATTTCCATCATAGCATGTATTATGCTTAAAACGTCGATATCTATGATGAATTGATGATTTTGTTTCTGTTGGATTTGACCATTGATATTTTTGGTAGATCACCAATGGAACTGTTCGACAACAATAATTAAAAAGAAAAGGAAATGTGACTAAGGAAATACAAGTATAAACTAAAAAAAAAAATCTAAAAAAATATGAAATGAGATTCTATTGTTAGTAAGTTTGCTCTTTTGGTGATGGTCCACCAAGCATTTTGCTAAAACTAGATCTGCATGTTTACATATATGCTATCAAGTGAAATACTAAGTTCACAATTTACATTAGTTATTTTATGACACTCCCATAATAAATCGATTACGGTTTGTAGGGACATTCCCATTCCAATTTATAAGCTGGGATAATTTTGATTGTAGGATCCACTTCACAAGTTGTCATTGTAGGAGATGTTGGATATATGTAGATGACCTAGCTAGACATTGTACCATCATCAATCTCTAACAATTTTATTGATGTGCATCATGACATGTTCCTTGTGAGTCTATATATAGTTAGGGGTGTCAATTTTTGACACGACGCAAAACCCGACCCGGAAAAATCCGAGTTCAGGTCAACCTGTTTGCGAAACGGGCCTGGTTCGGATTCGGATTTTTGACCCGTTTGAAAGAATGGGCTGGGTTCGGGTTGACCAGACAACCCAAAATTGACCCAATATTCACCTGGATTGCTTTGCCCGTTCTATGTTTTTCCTCCTGGGGTGAACCAACACTGCACCGCGCAGGATTTGTCAACGCCTCAGCCGCTCAGCGGGATTAATGGACTCGTCATGCGTCACTTGAGACTCACGTCACTCGAGACTCGCGTCAACGCTGCATCAAGTGTCACTCGAGACTCGTGTCAACATCAACGATGCGTCGTCCGTACTCTGGAATCTAGCGATCTCGCGTTCCAAACTTGTCTCATTGCGTCGCTGCCTCGAGCGGCCGAGCCCTCGGCCAGCCAAACATGTCGTGCTACGTCGCTTCCTCAAGCGGTCAATCTGGCACGCCTGCCTCGACCCAATCCAGCCGCACGACTGCACGAGGCACCTTGAGGAATCGACCTGGCAGCCTGCCACCTCGCCCAATCCGGCATGCTCGCCTACCGTTTTTTAAACCATAATTTAAAAAAAAATATAGCGGGTTGTCGAGTCGTGTCGGGTCAACCCGTAACCCACGCGGGTCGGGTCTGTGTTGACAATCCTGACAATGTTGACTCGGTTATGGTCAACCCGTTTACAACCGAGTCAAGTCGGGTTCGACCTGAACCAGACCCGTTGACCCAAATTGACACCCCTATATATAGTATGAGGTTGACACCTTAGAGTATATAACTTAGATGTAAGTCCTCTATACATACCAGAGTACTCTCCCCATCTCTAAGCCTAGGGCTAGGTTCACATCCTTTGTCTACAAGATTGCCTTGAATGAGGTAAATCATGGTTACTAGCCAAAGAACTACTCAGGGTTTTGGTCAGGCACCCATGCTCTCTGCATGGGTGGGCTTCTACCACTCACACCCACCCATGACAACTTTCAGGATGTCGTTCCTACCCATACCCATGTGTTGCCTGACCTTAGTCGCAGAGGTCATCATGATCGATAGAACAATATATCATTCACATGAGCGGGCTTTAAACTATTGCGCTTCTTAGTTAGTGTGTTGTCGGTATATGAAAAGTTATTCTCATACATTGCGCTGGTTGCCGGAATTCACAGAATAGAGCACGTTATGTGCTTCATGATCGAGAACATCTTCACGTCCATGAGCCCCCGCCACTTCAGGACGTTGACCATGATCTCAACGTTGTTCAATATTGTGCACTACACAGTGAGGATTGCGTCAATATATGACTTACAGTGATTAACAATGCAATTCAATTTATCCCTAAATGTTGGGTACCCACCCAACTCACCCACGAGTCCATGGGCATACCCATACTCACCTATACCCATTGGATATGGGTTGGTATGTGGGTATGGGTACCCAATGTAGGGCTCCGTGATACTAACAATGATCATTTGGCCGCCACTCGATTAAATAGAATAGGGGCACTGACGAACCCAAGCAATGAAGTCTTAAAATTTTGACCGGGCACGTTATACCAATTTAGCAGGATAGTTTCTACCCTCTACTCATGCCAATCTCACACTTTATGTTTAAATCAAATCAATTTAGATCATATTCAAAGAACCCCTAAAAAGTAATTAATTTAATCTAATCATACTAAAATAAAATCAATCATAAAATTAAGTAAATCTAAGTAAAAAATACACACTAATATATAATTAAAAGAAGAAACTAGGCTTATAATAATAAAATTAACAAATTTAGATTAAATTGGAATGATAATAAGCAAATGACCTATGCAATTGAAAATTAAATAAAAATTCAATAAAGTCAGATTCTATAAGCCCCATAAAATCATAAGGAATAATAAATAAATAAAATAAACATTTCAATAAACTCTGCACTTTCACCTCGAAATTTAACAAATTGCCTAATTGGCATAGAAATTGAGAAATTCATTAAAAAAATTAGAAAAATTCAAAATATTTTTTTATAAACTTATAAAATCAGAGCAAACAATAAACTAAATAAATATATCAATTAACATCACATCTTTACTTTCAATTTTGCCTACGACCGGATGTTCCTCTGCATCCTTACACCGGACCAAATAAAAGTTCCAACTAGACGCCATTAAGCATTAGAGATCTTTTGCCACCATGACTTGTTGATTTTTATTTTTGAAAAAAAGTGATTTAAAACGGCTATAATTTTTTATAAAAATAATTATAAACACATCATAAGAAAAATAATTTTTTAAAAATATTATTATAGAAAATAAATTTGTACTATAAAAATTCTTAAAATCAACAAAAATAAGACATAAAAATAGAAATTATAATTAAAATTTTAAAAATAAAGTAATAAAAAAATTATCTCCCAAAGAAAATCTTAGACTCATATAGGAAGATAAGTCAAAGCCGCCCTATTGGACTTAGAAAGAGCCTTTCCACTAAAAAAATACTTAGAAAAAGACTCAAACAAATTAGAATTAAGTACTAATTAAATTATCCTAAATTATATCTATATCAATTGTGCATATTGACGCATCATATCATAGGAAATCAATATTTTTAAGTATTTTTTAAGGTGGATAAATTTATTGCACAAATAATTACATGCAAAAAAAAATAAATTTTGAGGGTGGGCTCACTTAATTAAGTAGAGAGTGGGGGGGTAAAATATCAAAAATTATCTCCCTCATATGTAAAAGTTATAAGATTAAAAATAAACTCTCACCCTCTACTTTATTAAGTGATAAAAAAAGAGAAAATAACGAAAGAATATTCTCATAATTTTTCTCTCTACTTTTATTTTATGAAAGCGAAATCATATCATGCATGTGAGAGATCAAATGCCTAAGATAATTTGAGCTTCTAAAGAAAGAGCTGCCTTTCCTCTTCAATTATTGATTGAGTAGTTCTTCATAAAGACAGAGGTAATTAGCTCCTTAATCTAATTTTGGTCTTATAGATTGTCTCCACAGACCTCATCAGATCAAATACTTGAGAAATTTGGAGCTTTGATGAGCTACCTTGTCCTAGAAGTAATTAGTTCTTTCAGCTTGGCTTTAAGTTGTAATTTTGTTCTCATACAGCTCTTCTGTGCTCCTATGAGTATGATTTGTGATTTGATTTGTTTTTGGCCTTCAGTTCTCATTTCTGATTTTATATAGTTTTTTGTATGCATAGAAAGCAACGAGAATCTGCATAATCTGCTTTAGCTTATCTCTTTGCATTCAATTGATTGCTTTCCGCTGCAACAAGTATTTTAAACTATTTTTGTTTCATGAATCTCTCGGAACTCTCCTTCTAACATAAATACATAATGGAAGATTATATCTTACTATACAATTTAATGATGCATGGCAGGGATATTTGATTCTAATCATTGGACGAAGCCATGGCAGATATTATTGCTATGTTCAGCAGATGGGCGAAGTCAGGGTTATTGGCTCTTTTAGATGGATCTTCATCTTCATCTTCATCAGTGGAACCTACACGAGGCAATGCTTTAGATGAGTTCCAGAGGATAATGAGAATGCTACCGAGGATCGAAGCAGTGCTTGAAGATGCAGAGGAAAGAGAGATACAAGACAGATCTGTGAAGTTATGGCTTTCAGAGCTCAGGTGCTTGGCTTATGACATTGATGATGTAATCGATGAGTATGAGTATGATGTGCAGATAGCCCAGATGGAAGCCAGAGCTGCAGAAGAGTCCTACCACCATGGCAAGCGCAAGCGAGGCGATGATGAACGTTATGGTCAGATTGAGCATTTAGAAGGTCTTAATACATTAGCATCCTCATCTTATCAAGTTCCAGCAGTTTCTGATGGCATGGTTGAGAAGCTAAGGGAGATTCGGGAAAGATTCGATGAGATTGAAAGGGATCGAAAGGGACTTCGTTTAAGAGAGGACGATGGTGTGAGGCGAACTGTTAGTGCACAAAATTATCGGCTTACCAGCTCTCTCGTCGATGAATCAAATATAATCGGGAGAGAGAGTGAGAAAGAGAAGATTGTGAAGTTATTGCTCTCAGACGTACAAGTGAGCAATAAAATTACAGTCATCCCAATAGTTGGCATGGGGGGTGTGGGGAAGACAACGCTGGCCCAACTCATTTATAATGATCCTAGAATTCGTCAGTATTTTGATCTACGGATATGGATCTATGTTTCTGAGGATTTTGATCTTGTGAAATTAACCAAAGAGATATATAGATCCATAACTAACAAATCATGTGAGGAGCATGTTGGATTTGATTATCTTCAAGATTCCATTAAAAAAGAACTGATGAAATTTAAAAGAATGTTTTTGGTGTTGGATGATGTGTGGAATGAGAAGCAATTTCTCTGGGAGTCCCTAAAAGTCCCATTTCACAATGCAGGCGTTGTGAATATTTTGTTGACAACCCGAAATGAAAAGGTTGCAGATGTCATGCGGACTATGAACTACTGTCGTTTGGGCTTTCTTTCCAAAGATGAAGGTTGGCGATTGTTCAATCAATATGCTTTATGTGGTGATGAGAACCTGATGAGGATTGGCCAAAAAATTGTAAACAAATGTGATGGATTACCTTTGGCTATAAAACTACTTGGAAGCCATCTTCAATTTGAAAGAGATGAAGATAAGTGGATGAGCATCTTAGAAAGCGAGCTTTGGGACTTGGATCCAGGGACAAATGAAATTTTTCCTGCTCTTAAACTGAGTTATCAAAGGATGCCGATTCACTTGAAGCCATGCTTTAGGTACTGTTCTTTATTTCCTAAAAAGCATATTCCTGATAAAAATTGCCTTGTATGGTTGTGGATTGCACAGGGCTATATCCAACCAAAAATAAGAGGCAAGACTATGGAGGAGACTGGTAGAGAGTATTTAGATGAACTCTTGGGGAGATCGTTCTTTCAAGCAACAGAATCTACAGACTATTTCGAGATGCATGACTTGATTTATGATTTGGCAGTTTTTATTTCTGACAATGAGTTCATCAGTATGAAATTAAATGGTGGCAACCAAAATATATGCATATCAAATAATGCTCGCCACTTAGCTGTACATGATGAACCAACAAATAATGAAGCACTAAAAGACATTATAGCGTTCCCCTTTCTTAGCAGGCATGTTGCTCTTCGTTCTATATTTTGTTATGCCAGAAGAATAATCAATTATTTTCAACTTTCGGATTCAACACGATTGCGAGTACTTCATATTGAAATCGATCAATTTGTTTCAAACTTTACAAAGTTTATTGGTTCAACTGCCTCAATGAAGCATTTACGCTATCTTTACATTCATGCTTATGCACGGCGTCCTCTTTGGGAAGATGTTGCTCTTTCAAGCTTATTCAATTCATTACATAGTATGGTTAATGTGAAAGTGTTGGACTTGTCTGGTGTTCATTATCCTATAATGTTACCAGCAAGCATAAAAAATTTTATCAACCTTCGACATTTGATTCTACCAGATGACTCTTTCATGCCATGTGGGATAAGCAAGTTAACTTGTCTCCAGACATTAAAAAAAATAGTTGTACAGGATGGAAATCATGAAAGTGGTGGACTAGGTGAGATAGAAAACTTAGCAAGCCTTACAGGGAGTTGTTGTATATGTAATATAAAATATGCAAATAATGTTGAGGATTTCAAGAAGGCAAATATTAATGGGAAGAAGCAAATTAGGAGACTATTCATAGATTGGCATAGTACGATGATTTATTCTTATCTTATTCCATTTGATGTTTGCATATATTTTGAAGCAAATGATAAAGTAAAGAAACAAAGTTTTGAGTTGGAAGAGGTGAAACTTGAGGCATTGCGGCCTCACAACAACCTCAAAAAATTAGAGATACATAATTACCCTGGGATACTATTCCCATTGTGGCTTGGTGATCCCTCGTACTGTAAGTTACAAGATATAACCCTTCAAGGATGTAATGAATGGGATGGATCAGGTAGAGTGCTGGATAGAGATCTCCCATGTCTTCGAAGTATTTTCATCTTGGATTGTGCTATGTTAAAAAATATAAAAATAGTGCAGTCATCCTCACTTAGAAGACTACTTGTTGAAGAATGCCCAAATATAACATCATTGCATGGGCTATGTAGTTTGCATAGACTTGAAAAGTTAGAAATCAGGGGATGTAATAATCTCTTGATCTCTGCGGAGGAGATACTTCCTTCTAAGTTGCAATTTGTATGTTTCAAAGATTGCTGGGAGTTGACATCAATACCAGGCTTGCAAAACCTTCCTTCACTTAAGGAATTGAAGCTAATTAGATGCCCGAAACTTGAACTCACTTTGGAAGAAAAGCTTTCAACCATACCTAGTGTTTTGAAGATTGCTAATTGCCCTGGATTAGAAAAGTGGTGCCAAATATATGGATTCAAATATATTCAGGTATGTTTAATCAGTCCTCAAATTCTTTGATTTTCTTTTGATTGTCATTTCTTGTACTAGCTAGCTATAGATGAAAATAAAAAGGAGGTGACTAGAAAAATCGTTGCTACCCATTGCCAACAATATTTGATAATATTTTCTTTTGCTGCTTTGGCTATCGTTCAAATTGTTCAAGTGAAGAAAGAGCTCTCGTTTCTCAGAAAAAAAATAACAAATATATGTTTCCATAGTTCAATTCCAACTTTCATTTTGAAAATAAAGAATATTAAATTTAAATATTAATTAGTTTTAATTTTTTAGTAATTACTTAATTATCTGCATGTGTATTGGTTAGGTTTAATCTAAAATTATACCTTGGTCGAAACAATTATAAATATTGCAAGTGACAATTATGTAATGACTAATCTTATGCTATTTTTTGTTGAGTGACATGGCTTTTACTTAGCCAGGCTGGAACTTATGAAGAATGCTCTAGCGGATCAAGTGATTATTCTGATTATGACATATGATCATTGTGGGAAAGCAAAATGCATGAGGAGCGAGTTTATGCATGGATTAGGCTCTCAGGCTTACAAAATCGAGGGATAGTGCTCTACTTGTGCTGAAGCTTCTCAATAAGCACTCAGGAGGGCATGGTAAGCCAACAAGTTACTACTCGGAAAGCAGTGCAAGAGCATATCCAAAAATCACAAGTGGACATGTAAATGTAGCATACTTAGATTATGGAGAAGCTTCAGAGAATGAGGGAGTGGTTCAATGGAAAATAACATGCAGTGGCAAAGGAGAGTGACGATGCAGATTGATTCTAAGTATATTGTCTGTGATTATAATTAATTTGTATTGTTGGTAAGTGTTTGATAATTGTAGAACTATTGAACTTTTGTACTTTTTAAGAATAATTTTTTACAATGTTGAAATATTAGATTATCTAAACTGTTGTGAGTATTTCTTATTACTTATATATTATATTCAAGAAAAAAAAACACTATATTGTTGAATAATTGATACGAGAGGTTGTTTCTTTTTATCTCTGCTAAAGATAATATTTGGACATATTTTTTCGATTAATATTTTCCAACTATTAAGGCTTCATTTAGGAGAATTTTTTATCACTGCTTTGTGGCTGCTTTTAAATTTTTAAACTAGAAACCAATAAAAAAAAAGTATCTCGAACAAACCCTAAGATTTAATTTGGACAACTTTCTTATTACAAACTTTTTAGCACAAATCAAATTAAAATCGCACAAATTAACAAAGTTCAAATCAAATTTAAAAAAAAAAACCTTTAATGTGGATACAATTTAATTTCATAATTTAATCATACTAAACCAAATCCATCATAAAATAAAATCAAATATAAGGTTAAGCAAACCTAAATAAATCGTGCATGTTCATACTGAGTAAATTTATAATTAAATACAAAATAATAAAGAAAAATATAATAGAATAATGATACCACCACAAATGAATAATCTTGACACCTAGAAATTAACCAAAACTCTAAGAAAATTTGAAAAAAGAAAAAAAAAACAGCAGTTTTCGCTTAATAAATTATAAAATGTGACTCTCTAATTGCAATTAAATATCATAAATTTGATTCGATTGAATGTAAGTTCTCTGTAATTAAATTTATTTACATATAATACCTTTATAGACATTTGCTAAAACTAGATATGTTTACATATATGCTATTTTGATAGTATCTTGATGTGCATCATGCCATGTTCCTTGTAAGTCTACATATAGTATGAGGTTGACACCTTAGGGTAGTAAAAAATTTTTTTTTAACAGATCAAATTTCATTAAAGGGAAATGATTCAATCAAAGACCATACTCAGGGCCACATCAATCAATTACAAAGTAAAAGACAAGGTGCGATGTAAACTGATAAATTGATGGGAGGCATAAAAAATTTGCGGACTCGGCCAGGATGGGGCCATCCATGAGAGACAACAAAATTGAAAGTGAGAAGCAGCCAAATCAGCAAAACGAGCCGCCCAGGTTGCCAACCAACCCTGGCCATCACCGGCACTTGCAGTAGAGCTTCTTCCTCATCGTCCATGTCGAAACTAAATGAATCGGACTTGGCAGCCAAAAGCAACGAAAGTTCTATCATCCTCCAAACCACAACAACCAAAGGAAATTGGACTTGGCAAAGAGAGAATCATCTCTTCTTGGATTTACGTGTATGTTGCGAAATGAAAAATCTGTCAAGTGAGCCTATTTCAAAATTTCTATCATCCTCCCCACTGTCACTCGACATGTCATCCTTCAACCAATCACATTGCCACCTAACCGAATGGGTAATCAAATTAGCATTTGAGATAACTAAAATAGGAGCCTCAACTAAAGCCACCTCCTCACCTGCCTCCCCATCAAAAACCACAACTTGTTCTCCAACCTTACCAACAGTCAGAATCCCCTCCTCCATCTGACTAGGACTTTCATTAAAATTCACATAACATTTAATACCCAACACAGCCACAATGGGAGGCTCCAAATTAGGGGAAACATCCCCATCCACACCACCATACACCAGATAAACCATTCACAATGGGAGGCTCCAAATTCTTTGTTTCGATCTTTTTTTTTTTCGTAAAGTAGATATGGGAGTTATGAGGCTTTATGGGATTTGGCCGAAGAAGCATGCGAATGAAAGAAAGATGTCTACCTTTGCAATGAGCAAGCTCACGTCGACAGCAGGGAGGTGTGATTTTAAATCCGATAGGAATGAACATCGTTGAAGGAGGTGAAAAAGTAATTGAGTGATTCATTCAAAACTCTACCTGCCACATAAAGAAGGCGAAGTCGAAGAGCAACGAATAGTGAAGAAGGGGAAAAACAAACCTTGTAAATCTTCGAAAAAAAAAAAAAAAAAAAACTGTCTCTGTGTATATATTTATTAAACCCCTTGCATATATGATATATCTTCCTATCAATGTTCAAAATATTCCAAAGGGAAAAAGCTTGTACAAAATTATTTGTGACTTGATTAATGTTTACTTACTTTACTCATAGCGTAGCGTTTGCTTTTAGAGAGATTATTATGTGCGGACGATGAATGTATTTGGAGGCGAATGAGGAGGTGTCATGTCATACAATGTATTGTACATTGGGGATGTGACGCCTCCTCATTCGCATTTTCGACATCCACACGTAATAATTTTTTTTCTCTTGTGCCTTAGCCGAAAATCTAATATAATATTTTTAAGATTTGATTCAACTCTAGTTGGCTTAATAGATGATACTACATCACATATTTCTCTGTCAGGTCAACATCTAATGTTGTCTAGTTTAATTTATACAAATTATATCATAGTATGAATTATTAAAATTATTATATCTTAATAAATCATTAGATTTCTTTAAGATTATGCCTACCTTTCCTATAGGGGTGTAGGATTCTGATTTTTGACTCGTTTTAAAAAACGGGTTGGATTCGGATTGACCTAGAAACCAAATATCAATCCAATAATGACCCGAAAGTCGAAGTCCATTCCGGATTTCCACCCGCACTCGTGGACTCTGCCCGCTGCCTGCACTCGCGACTCGCCGACCGCCTTACGTCGTTGTTTCCGCTGCTCGGAGTCGCTGACTCCACACGTTGCCCGCACTCGCGGTCACAGACTCCGTAGCTCTGCCAGCACTCGCCGACCACCTTCCACCGGCACTCGCAAACTCAGCCCACACTCGTGAACTCCACCTGGTGCTGCTGTCGTTGCTCCGCTTCCGGTTTCGAGTAGGAACTGGAAGTAGCGACAGGAGCTCAGTTCACGCTTCTTCAACCAAATCTCCTAAATCCGAGTCAGGTCGTGTCAACAAGGCAACTCGCGCGGGTCGAGCCCGGGTTAAAATATCCAACCTGTTTGCAAAAAACGAGTCGGATTCAGGTTGACCCGTTTAGATCGGTGTCAACTCGGGTTCCTCGATCACGATCCGTCGACCCGAATTGACACCCTACTTTCCTGGCATAGTGTATATACATATATAAAAAGAAAAGTAATAAATGGCTAACGAATCATCGTTGGGTTATTTGGAAAAGTGGTTTTGGCTTTGTTGGCTGGAACGTCTAAATTTCCTGCCCGTGGTTCTATCAGTTTGAAGAAGTTGTTGGTTTATGTTTTTAATGACAAAGTGATTATTTGGTCACTTGTTTTTCAGTTGCTCCTTGAAGATCAAATCTTATTGGTTAATGATTTGAAGGATTTGAAGTTTTGTTGTTTTCCTCTCGTTAATGTGAAGAGAGCGATGAAGATTATCAGTTCGGTTGTCCTTGGCATTGATGAAGCCGGGTATTGACTTCTTGAGGTAATTGTCGGTGTTATGGCTTTGCATTGAAGGATTACTGGTATTGTTCTTTCCAGTATGATGGATATGGGAGAGATTTTTAGTCTGCATGACTTTGCTTATGAAGAGGATGACTCTTAGACTATTGAGGAGACAGTTGGTGTGTTTGCTTTGTTGTTGCCGATTGGTTTGTTCTTGGTGGATGTTGTTGGTTGTGTTGATGCAACATCAAAAGTTTCTATTCTTGATTGGAGCTTGTTGGACCCTAAGATTGATGGGGTTTCGGTTGATGATTGGATAGCTAGTTTAGTAGTTTGTTATTTTTTGCTTGTTTTGCTAATAGGTTCCTTATTCCTTTTTAAAGCCATTATGATGAAATATGAGATTTTTACTAGGTTTCATTTTCCATCTTTTGAGAAAGCTAGGATACTAACCAACCTTTTAGGTTATTGTTTTACTTGGTATCCCCATCACCCCAATGGATCTAAAATGGAACTTAAGGCTCGTTTGGGACGACTTTTTTATTGCTTCTGAAAACGGAGTTTTAGTACAAAAATTAAAAAATTTGTACTACAACTCCGTTTTAAAAAGCAATAAAAAAGCCGTCCCAAACGAAGCCTTAGTGAATCACATATCCATTATGGTAGTTTTAAAGGGTTGCTTTTGCTTTCTAATTTGTATTAGGTTTTTCTTATTTTAATGCAATTTGCATTTCTTAAAAAAAAAAAAAAAAAAGAATCATCGATGGATGTATAAATACATCATGCTTATAAGTGAATGTTTCTACATTTAAATGCAATTATTATTAATTGACATAAGTAATTCTTCATGAACTCTTACTATATAAGAAACACTATTATATAACTTCTATATTTAGAAGTCTCATCTTTTATACATTGTTTGATTTGAATGATTATAGCTTTTTATTGAGATGGTTGTGAAGCTCCTACGAAAAAAAATAATTTTTTGAAAGGTACTAACATAATGTATAAAGCAGTTTTTCAATATAAAAATTTCTTTAAAACAGTAGTCAAATAGGAACTTTAGTTGTGGTCTAAAAATAAATTAGTAAAAAAATTGTCTCAAATGAAACTTTATGATGTATATCTAAAAAGCAAAACCGTGATAAAACTATCTCAACCAAACAAGAGATTATTGCATGCGGATTTTAAACGTAGAGAACCGTTCGGTTTTGTTACTATGAATTGTAAAAACGTAGTTACTGTTCATTATTGTGTTTTTACTGCCACTGTTGCGCTTTTACTGTTCACAGTCACAAAACTGAATATTTCTTTATATCGAGACTCCACTTGTAATAATCTCTACAACGAAACATTTGCTCAATGGGTCATCATAATTAGTTATTATTTGCTCTTATGTAAAAATATATCCGGTAGAAGAGTTACATAATATTTAAATTTATGTTTCTCTTCATTCTCATCAAGAGGGCCGTTCAAATTATCCGGCCTTAAATGGTGGACTTCTATGATTTTTCAAACAAATTCCGAGCTACGTCGCTATCGTCCAAGCAGAACTGTATAAAGATCGTGCAGGTTTTAGCGAAGAGAATCGCCTCGGAGTAGTAATTCACCGTCGCCGATTCGGTCTCCTTTTTATTTTTATAAGATTGCCGAAGGGAGATTCAGATCCAAATCCTGTTTTCAGCTTCTCATGCCCTTCCGTTTGACCTTGGAAACAAATATAAATTCGTGTTGGGTTCTTCGGAGAGTGCTCTGTGATCCATAAGGAAGTCGTATTTGTTCTCGGATTAGATCTGGTGAGTTCGATATTTCTTTTTTTTTTTTTTCCCTTATTTTGTTTTGTATTCTTTACTTGATATGCGAATCTTACGTTTTTGAATTCGTGTTGCTATTGTGTTGGGGTTTGTTTGATTACTGTTTATGTATCAGCGTCTTTGATTTATACCTCGTTTTTTCATCTTCAAGTGAAATTAAAAGTTCCTGGCCAGCTGATGAAATAAAAATTGTTGTAAAGTTTCTAATTGAGGGTTCTTCAGCATTTTTAAGAATTTCAGTTGTGATCGCCACAAGAGCACAAACGTGGAAACCTTCCTCCAAGTAGGGAGAACATCTCCACAATTCCCAACGGATGGTCTATGAATGAAGCTCAATCTCGCGACCTGGACCTACCTACTCGATATGTTGAGGAAAGACCTTTTTTTTTTTTTTTGGTCTTTTAACCTAAGAGGATCTTTAACACTTGTGTGACCATGGCTTGGCTATCACTAGTAGGTCATAATGTTAATTCTCTAACACAATTCTTGGAATTGAGGCTGTGTAACGTACTTGATGCGATTAAAGTATCGCTCGCTTTCTCCACCGGAGGACGTTTTTCCTGTTGGATTCAAGGTTCTGTTGCTCAGCTTGCCCACCAAAACTACTAGGGATTTTTCCATCCAGATTTAATTTGGAGCGATCAATGGTTCAAATTAGAGGAGATTGGTGAAGTTGAGTGATTTTAAAAAGGGTTAGACAAAGAATAGGTTGAGAGAGAGAGAGAGAGAGAGAGAGAGATGGGAGAAATATGGATTAAACTCCTTTTGTTTGGGATTAAACTTCAAAGTAGTTCACCATTAAAAGGATACATCTCTTACATATTCTACACCTAGGATGACTTCCTTCGTGGAGAAAGGCTTACTTTCTTTATTGTTTTCACTAAGCCATCAAGTTCCATTGCTTTTGGTATGCATGGTAGTAAGTTCCTAGAAGATGTTATCCTTTCGGTGTAGATAAGGGGTTACAAATCTAACCTTTGATCTTTTTTACATTTTGCCTCTTTGAAGGTTCACACCTGAGGTTTTTTTTTTTTTTATGTTAATTGTGTTTTTGGTACAATCAATGGTGCCCAATATCTCATGTAGAATGTGTCTCAGGCTTGGTTGGTTTCGATGCCTGATACACACAGCATCAACATTCGACCCTCGATATTCCAATATTAATCATTTTAAGCATAAATTTTAGTTAAATGACTTATTATTTCTAATTTTTTTAATATTCTACTTATTTAATTTTTATACATTATTTTTAAAATATAAAATTATAATCTCGTGTTTAATTCGTGTCTGTGTCATATATTTTTAATAATTGACGTATCCCGTATTAATGTTATGTCGTATCTGTGTCGCCTTCTCCCTATATGTGCATCACTTGGATCACATTTGGATAGACGATGGTGTTGATGATTTTATGTAGGAACTTTGAGGAATATGAAGCCTTTTTTGGTATGCCTCATGTTTATGCCCAATTGTCTCATAAGGTTGATGGCTGTTTCATTAGCTCAATTTAATGAAATATGATGGATTGTGTTGAGTTGGTATTTAACGCCAGCATAGTCTAGTAGTCTGGTTTGTAAAGCAACTGAGGACTGGTAGAAAATAGTCTTTTTAAGATTTTAGGGTATGGGATAGGGGAGAGCGGACATTAGAATCTGACTTCTAGGATCAAGTCTCAAATAACCGCCTTAAATTCAATTATATTGCCGAACAACTCCAGAGAATTTAACAGGATTTAACTCTTACATTACCAGATAATTTTCAGGATTTAATTTTAACAGAATTTGTTAAATCAAAATTTACAGGATTTGCAAAATCCTATTCAAATAAATCATACTTTTGCCAAACAGCCCCTTAAAGACTTTCTGATTAAATTTAAAGATTTTTTAGCTATGTTTCGAAGATCCAGCTCGGAATGGTCATAAGGTAAGACAATCGAATCGACCGATTTTACAATGCTCGCCCACGTTATTGCTTCTTGCGACCTCCACGACCTCTTCTCTCCTTCACATGCCTTTGACGATCTCCTCCTCTACTGTGTCGCGACCCCATCGTGATTTCCTCCTCTTCTAAGTTGTCGTTGAACCCATCAATGGATGCCACTAGCAAGCTCTTGTCGTGATCCCTCTTTTCCCCAGTCAACGTCGAACTTGTCAATGCCCAACGAGCTACCGTCACATTCTCTTACATGCCGATGCCAGAGACTACCGAGCTCTGATGCCGTCAAATTCCCTGACATCCCGCTGGCAACCATCTCGTGCCCTAGGTTTGCTTTTTATTATATATAGATCATTTTTAATGCTTACGCATCAACTAGCTTTTTGTGTTATTTTCCTGTTGTAAAGATCCAATTTTTTATGGCGAACAACTTTTATTCTTTGGATAGTTGATGCATTTTTATATCAGCCTCCTAAAATACGTACATATTTGAGCTCTCTTTAATTATTTGCTCTAAGATTTGTAGGTTGTATTTCCTATTTCTTGAGCTGATTAGCATTTTTGTGGTTTGTGGAATTGTAGCATAGGTGCTGATTTCGGTATTGGCTTGTGGGGGCCTGTGGTGTAACCAAAACGAAAGTGGGCTTAGTTTGAAACATGGTACCGACAAGCAAAGCCGAAAGAAAAGCAGCGTTAGATGTCGCCTCGTGGATGTTCAATGTTGTAACTTCAGTGGGGATCATTATGGTTAATAAAGCCTTAATGGCTACTTATGGTTTTAGCTTCGGTAGGTGAACTTTGCAACTTAAAGGTTTCCTTCAATTTATTGATGAGCATGCAGTTCCTTGATGTTAGTGCACAAATTATCAAGAAAAAATTTAGTTATTTTACTTACCGTATAGATTAATATGTTGTTCTAATATGAAATGGAAGGCAGTCATAACAGCAACAATTTGAAGGTTTGATTATATGGATTATAATGTGTCTCGTTGATTTCTCAACTTTTTGAATTTGTTGATTGATGTTTTCCTTTGATTTTTATTAGAAAAATTTATTAGAAAAACGGTAACTGATCTTTAGCATCCCTCTTTGTATGGGAATTTCCTTAGCAACTTAATACTTTGATGATTCTATAGGTAGGACCATGTTAATTCTTTGTGTTTTTTTCTCAATTCTTTAGTTATTATGGAATCTAAATTGTATGCTTTATCAGATTTGAACCTTCTCACTAGCATTTTCCCTCACATTGTCCCTCTTCCACCCTCAGCCTGCCCTCACCAAGCATCATACTTTTCTCACACCCTCCCATTTTCCTCAATCATCTCCCTGGTTTTTGTTATATTTGTGTTATCCTCTCTCTCTCTCTCTCTCTCTCTCTCTCTCTCTCTCTCTCTCTCTCTCTCTCAAGTTTCAGCTTGCTATTCTTGGCAAAACAAGGGCTTTGTTTTCTCTCGAACGGAAAATTAGTAGCTATGGAATTGTTTTCTTTTTATTTGCATTTCTTAGTTCGATTCTATCTATAGCAAATTGTTAATATGTCATAGTTTCTATACAGATCGCCAATTCTCTTATATATCTGCTTTAACCTTTTGTTGCAGCAACAACATTGACTGGTCTGCATTTTGCTACAACGACCATTATAACTGTAGTGCTTAGGTGGTTGGGATATGTTCAACCTTCTCACTTGCCAGTACCAGAACTCTTAAAATTTGCCTTTTTTGCAAACCTATCTATTGTTGGAATGAATGTTAGTTTGATGTGGAATTCAGTGGGATTTTATCAGGTTGGCCATTGATCAATTTCAGGTTTTCTTTTCATTTGGATTTGTTTTAAACACGTTTACTGACTGCTTATTGGTTCACTGTCAGATTGCAAAGCTCTGTATGATCCCTGTGTCATGTTTTCTAGAGGTTCTTTTCGATAAGGTTCGTTATTCCAGAGACACAAAGCTCAGCATTGTGGTGGTTCTCTTAGGTGTTGCAGTCTGTACAGTCACTGACGTGAGTGTTAATGCCAAAGGTCTAATAGCTGCTGTTATAGCAGTTTGGAGCACAGCCTTACAACAATATGTAAGTTATATGGGTGTATCTGTTTCCTAATTATTCCTGGTTGACCATTTACTATAAATTTAGGATATTATGATGCTTTTCGAACTTTGTTTGTTTCATATACTTTTTGCAACTTTTATAAACTAAAAGTCCTAAAAAAACATTGTGGCAACTATAATTAGGTAACTATGTATTTCAAGGAAAATGAAGATTTACTTTGTTTCTATTTTTTATTTGGGATATTAGCTTGGTTGGGAGTTTTCTGACAGAGTGTAGCTGGACGCAGTCCATTAAACTCACTTCATTTTATATTCTTTGAATTTTACCCGAGCATGCAGAAGGTTTTTGGTCAATGGCCCTTTTACAAGCATAACTACTAAATCATACTGAGATTCATGCTTCTCTTTCTTAATGCAATAAAGACCGTTTCTTTAGCCATTATTTCAATGAATGATAAAGACTAAGAGGCTGCTTGGTTTATGTTTTCTTTAATGTAATGTCATATGAGATATTATTTTGTGCGGTCACCGGACGCCGTCCGAAGGCGAATCAGGGCGCACCACGTCAATTTTTTGCTGTGTACTAGTGTTATGTACCGGGTGATGTGGCGTAAAGCTGATTCGCCTCCGGACAATCCGGTGACCGCATAGAATAATTTCTCCATAGCATATAGTAAAAACTGTTTTTGCCTAAGCAATTCAGCTGATTTCTACTATCTAACATATATTCAGTGAAACGTGGACTGCTTTATGCATTGTCACCATTATTTGAGCAGCTGTAACTGTTTTTTGCAGTATGTGCATTTTCTTCAACGGAAGTACTCTCTCGGATCATTCAATCTGTTGGGCCACACTGCTCCTGCACAGGCAGCATCTCTGTTGCTTCTTGGCCCTTTTATAGATTACTTACTAACCACAAAAAAGGTTTATGCCTTTGACTACAATGTAATCTCAGTGGTAAGCACTATATATATTTCGGTTTGCATCTTCTCTATTCTATCTCAGATTGGGCAAATTACTACGTGCGGCATCCGGATTCATCCGGAGATGAATCCAAACGCGTCACATCACCCCGACCCCGGTGCATCCGGGTGACGTGGCGCGTCCGGATTCACCTCCGGACGGTCCGGACACCGCACGTAATATTTTGCCCTCAGATTGCAGTTTCTTCCTCTGTTTATGAAAAATAAAAGAAATTTCCGTTACTTTTGTTGCAGTTCTTCATCACCTTGTCATGCTTAATCGCCATAGGTACCAATTTGAGTCAGTTCATCTGCATAGGTAGATTCACTGCAGTGTCCTTCCAGGTTCTTGGTCATATGAAGACCATTCTTGTCTTGTTTTTGGGATTCTTTTTATTTGGAAGAGAAGGCCTCAATCTTCAGGTTGTTCTTGGGATGATATTAGCAGTTGCAGGAATGATTTGGTATGGAAATGCATCATCAAAACCGGGCGGTAAAGAGCGGCGAACGCCGACCGATAAATCTCATAAGAATAGATCATTATCGGATTCCGAACAGCTTGATGAGAAGGTTTAGATTACTTTCACAGGCAGGCTTTAGATATCTTTCCCTTTGCTGAGATCATTAATAGGAAGAATACTTCAAATTCAACTAGGTTTAGTTTTTTCTTTCTTTATAAGTTTTTTTTTTATTAATTTTTATTTGGAGGCATTCATTAGGATTGAAGCATCCCTGAAATTAAATGCTAAGTTCCATTGATGATCATAGTTATTTATTGCCTTGAAATAATTTGTTTTACAAATAAATTTTGTTGTTTAGTGTTGTGAATTGATCATTTGCCTTGAGATGTGAGATGAAGTTCTTTGTTTGGCAAACAGTTGTTGTGATCCCTCTTAATCATAGAAAGTGGTCTCTATTTTTGGAGAGTATTACATGCGGAGTCTGGATACAGAGAATCGTTCGGTTTTGTGATTATTACTAGTAAATGAAAAGTTAATGTTCACCACTGCATTTTTACTATTCACAGTTGTTGTGATCCCTCTTAATCATAGAAAGTGACGTCTCTATTTTTGGAGAGTATTACATGTGGAGTCCGGATACAGAGAACCGTTCGGTTTTGTGATTATGACTAGTAAATGAGAAGTTAATGTTCACAACTGCATTTTTACTATTCACAATCACAAAATCAAACAGTTCTCTGTGTCCAGACTCCGCACGTAATAATCTGTCCTATCTTTATTTATTTTTGTATAAAAAGACATCTTAAATGTATTTTTTTTAAATTTTAGTGGAATATATGATCTGTGAGTTTAACATGATCACAAGTCAATTAAACTCCATGGTTGACTATAGTAACTAATTGTTGGCATTAAAGATTATGCTGCATGAGTGAAAAAGGCCTAAAGATAATCATAAAGGTAAATTTTTAGATTTACAATATATTAAATCTAGTATTTGGGAAGGTTGCATTAAGAGAGCAATGGAGGTTCAATTTCTAAAATAATGAAAGAAAATGTAAATCCAAAAAAGCAAGAATTGGTTAACAAAGATCATAGACAACTGCACCATAAATGTATAGGGTTATTTTAATAAAAATAAATCTATTATATTTAATAATTTTATAAGATAGAAAAACTTGTTAAAAATTATAATAATGTAAAAAATAATTTTTTATGATTCAATAATGGGGAAAGTGTGGTTTACCTCTTGGTGAAGTTTTGTATATAGTGAATAACTCCAAATGTAAATATTTCTTTCTAATCAATAAACTCAACACGAAGTACTAAGAATTTTTTATTATGTGGACTTGTTGGTCGGTTGATATGCGTATATATTGAAGTTAGCATGCGGTTCACTCTTATTATGTTGTACCCTCTCTTCTTTACTTCTTTACTTGTATCTTCTTATATATATCCTTGTACCTTAGTTCAGAATATAACAAGGCTTTATGTCTTTCTTTCATTCTCTCTCTGTTTCGGTTTTCTCCTTGCCTCTCTTGGCATTCCTCACAATTGCATAGTCAATGTCATTATAGAGTGAAATGCTTGGGCACTCTCGTGCTACTCACTGCGGATCTTATCGCAAAGGAGGGAGTCGACCTACTAGACTAGGTTGATAAATTCAAAAGATCGCCCTCACTATGCTCGACAAAGTCCATTATTAAAGTTTCCATTTAATGAGAGGGCGACCTAGCGGGATTGTGAGGCCATTCTTTTGTTTATTTATTTGTTGCTTTCTTCTCATGTGTAATCCTCTCTCTCTCTCTCTCTCTCTCTCTCTCTCTCTCTCTCTCTCTCTCCCCCACACACACACACCCCCAAATACACACACACAACTCTGGAAGAAGGAAAAAAAAAAAAGAAACATGGAACAAAACAAACAAAAAATAAAAATGCAAATGAAAAGAAAGAAGGGATTTAATATGGAACAACTTGAAAAAGGAAAAAAAAAACTATGGAGTCACACCATACCAATAAATTCATTAAGAAAATTTAGGAGACAGAGTACATATCTCTCTTTTTTCTCACTCTCTCCTTTCTTCTCTTCTTTCTTGTACCATTTCACAATAGAACATACAAAGAGATACAATACAACCACCAAGGGACATAACCCTTAATGAAAAATGAGAATAAACATTGCCTAGCATGTTGGATCATCATGGCCCTTCATTCTCTGAGTTCAACCTGCTATTGTTATATTTTTTTTTTTTCATCATTTTTATTATTTCTATTTTTTTTAATTTGGTCAAAACTTGTAAAAAAGATGATATCTTAAGATTAGCAAATTTTTATAATATAACTTTTAATATGTTGTAATTCTACTTATTCTGAATATTTAGACATAATCATATTAGAATTTCATTGAGTATTTATATATGTTGGTGTATATTCTCTAAGAAAAGCAAGAATAAGGAAAGAAATTGGTTTATGGCTATTACATTCAGTTTAGGAAAAATGAATGACATGTAATCTAACAAGAACCATTTGTCGTATTATATAGTAAGTTGATATGATATGCATAGTAAATTGGCATGATATGCATGCATAGTTGACATGACTTATTTTGCTAAAACATATATATTTATTTATTTTGATTCTCTTGTTGAATAAGAATATGTGGAAATGAACATGTTGTATTATTTTACAAACACATTATTATGATTTATATGTTATTTCAGATGAATAAGAAAAATGATTTATATGTATATCTATTGTGAAATGTTTGCAAACAAGAGAATATAGTTACTATATGATTCAAGTTGGCATACATATGATATGATACCCTACACAAGACGGTTGGCTGATGAGTTTTCCTTCAAATATTTATAGAATGTGATGAGAGGCATAAATGGACATGATATGGATATGATTGGAGTGAAAACTCCTGTACATGATGTCACCTAACTGCTTCTTCTATTGTGGCATGATATAATATAATAATATATGGCATGTGATACTGTTGAGGGATGACCACACATAATATGATTAGTCAGAAATCCTAGATATGTGTGTGTGTGTGTGTGTGTGTGTGTGTGTGTGTGTAAGAATATACCATATCATACATGATCATTTTAATAGCTATGTCATGCATATTATTGTTATAAACATGATAATTTCATACGGTACATAATACTATTATATATGATGATACTCTTGATATGATATGATGCTCAGTATTGATATACATAAACATGATGATACCTCCTATATAACGCATGATCTCTATATACATGATACAATGATGATACATTAGTTGACATGATTATACGTACATGATATGAATTGACCATTAGAACACATGAAAATCTGATTTCAACATAATAATCTTGATCATTATTACATTTGTATGATACATATAAAAGAATAAGCATAGAAAGATATTGCTTCAATATATTAGCTTTCTTGATTCAATTAATGTATCATGCATATTACTCTGCTTTTCTCATATTAATACAATAATAGCTTCTGTGTAACCTATTGAGTTGTCCACCCTCTATATATGTGTGATAATCTTTATTTTTAAGGAATTTTTTTACATAGAACAGTAAGAAATTATTTCGGGAGTTATTATAAATTCAAATCACAAATTGTTTTCGACATAACATCTATATTATTATGTTTTAACTTTGCTCATTTTTTCATCTTTTTTAGCTTAGGTAAAATTCCTTAAGAAATTGACATTTATCAGTGCAAATGGAGATTTTGGGACCGTTAGGTGTTCGTTTTGCAAACAATTTCACTAGAATGTTTTGGACATGCTAAGCAAAATATGGGAAGAGAATATGAAACATTCTAAAACTAAATCTTGGGATTTTGCAGTCGCGGCTCAATACAATGGGACCAGTCCTGGTCAGGTTGGGTTATGACAATATATTTGCATATTTTAGAGAAGGATAATGCACCAACAAATAGATCCACATGGTTGCAGTTAGACGTTTTTTTTCTTTTTGAAATAGATAAATTATTTTTTAATTGAGTGTTAAATGTATTTTATTGGAGATGATCGATGGTCATGATTATTGAGCAAACTATTTTTAGATGAAATTAATCTAAATGTGTATATGTATTAGATGATATTTTATTTTTGTATATTGATAATTTATAGTGTCTCTATTATGAACTAAATGATAAAAAGAAATTATCTCCAATAAAAGATCTTGAAAAATGATTTGTCCCGCATCTGACCTAATATGACCTATTAGAGTATATAGGTTATGTCAGGTCAGGTCGTTACAATAAAGAGTAGTATCATAATAATAGTTTGAAGAATTGATATGTGATAAAGTCATAAGATTGATTATGTGATGGGTAAAAATTGGATAGTATTAAGACTCATATTATGATGTTAGAGTCCAAACGATAGAATGAACCTCGATACGATTGATACTGAAAATGAATTGATTGAGTGAATATGAAATCTATATTGAAATGTTGAGGTTGATATTTTTCTAAGAAGGAGAGAATATAATAACCTCATTTGTAGTAGTTAGATGACCTAATCGTGACCTGAAAAGAACCTTATGGAAAATTCATTTTACTTAATACGTATAGAATTTTTTTTCTTGCGAAGCACTGTGGCTCTAAAAAGGTGGCACATGGTGCATCCCTCCATGTTGAATAATGAAGTATGCTAAAGAGCACTGCAAGGATGAGGTTTAAGTGCTGGGACGCTGAGGTCTCATGGCTCTATACCCCTTTTAGTATTTTATATAAATATCCAACCCCACTATCCCAAAACATTTCACTCTCCTCAAGTTACCAACTGAAGAAAAAAGGAAATGAGGGGAAGAAGAAAGGAGGAGAGAGAAAGGCATGTTCGTGGGCATAGAGCCAATTTCATCTAGCATAATAATTAGAAAAAAAAGTATTCATCTACAGGTAGATTATCGTGATCCTAATTCTGATTTTAATGATTTCATTATTTATATGACTTATATTATAATTTAGTCAAACTGATAATAGATACAATATATTGAGATTTATCATACTTTATAATGCATATTTTAGTATATTATAAATTTACTCATGCAACACATTTAGATATGATTATACTTAAGTTTCATTAGTTATTTCTATTTTTTATGTATATACTCTAAGAAAAGTAAGATAAATAAGGAAAGAAATTGATTTATGGCTATTACATTGAGCTTAGGTAAAATGGCTAACATGCATATATAACAAGAACCATTTGACATGACTTATATAGTAAGTTCACATGACATGCATAATTGATATGATTTGATTGACTAAATCATACATATCTATTATAATTCAGTTGTTGAATAAGTATATGTGAAAATCAACATATTATATTATTTTATAAACATTATTATTATGATTTATATGTTATTCGATATTAACAAGAAATATGCCTTGCACTTGGAAAAAGCTTTTGATACTCATGCTAATGAAATATAGACCAAATTCAATTATAGTAGTAAGAGGCAACTCGTATATGTAAATGATGTCCAACTATAAGAAGTTGCTAATGAATATGGCATTGATCTTGGTGAGTGCTTTGACTTCAAACCATTTGGTGAAGTACTCCACCATTACGACTATAAACTTCTTCTTACCACTAAATGATGGGAATGGTCCTAGGAGATCCATGCCCCATATGGTGAATGTCCAAGGGTTGTTGTTCATTTGAAGCTTGTGAGATGGTTGCAGTTGTATGGGAGGCAAACTTCTCACATTTTGGACACCTTCTTGAAAACTCCTTTACATCCTTCCTCGGAGTTGGCAAGAGGTATCATTGTCTCAAAATCATTAGGGTGATTGTCCTCCCTCTTGAAGGGCTTTCACACTCACCATGATGTACATCTTTGATAATGATTTTCTTATTGTCTTCTAGGAAACACCGCATGTTAAGGGAGCTCATTGATCTCCTGAATGGCCCCTTTTGTTTATTAAGTACTTTGACGCTTTTATTTTTATTCACCCTATGTATAAGACCTTGGTTCTTATTCTTCCCATCTTTAGATCTTCCAAAAATGGGTCAATCCAACTAGATTACTCTCCGCTTACATTATCTCTTCTTCTTCAATGGTTTGTTTGGCTCTCCTTAGGATAGGTTGTCCATTTATTGATATGCTCTGAAATGAAGGGTTTAAAGTTCAGAATTCTAAATCAAGGTTTCAAGTTGCTTCAAGAACATATCATAAGGACTAAAAAAATTGAACATATGAAAGACAACTGCTCTACTCGCCAAGTATGAACTCCTTCAATTTTCAGCTTTGATAAAATCTTCGACAAGCCTATAAAGGTGGAAACACTCTTTGGTGTCATGACTGTGATCCCCCATGAAAGACATAAAACCTTGATGTGTCTCTCATGTGTGCATTTATCTTCATAGGTCTTGGGCACTTAAAGAGCTTGTTATTCTAAATGGCCTCTAATATCTCGACCATTGATACCCATAGGGGCTTAGTCATGGAGTAGTTGGGTTCTAGTGTGTATCATCTTCTTAATAGGGTCAAGTGGCCTAAGGAACTTACTCCACTATTGGCATGGATGGTTCAACAATCTTAAATGGCCTCAGCTAGTAGTGATGCTCTTTGAAATTGCTACATCAATCACATGTTATCAAGGGCCTTTTATTAGTTCTAGGATTCCTCGAATGACTCTCACGCTCCACCATGAGGCTAGTCCTTCCTAACAATAATTATAGGGCTAGTGAATGATGAGTCAACCACTCAATTGTGCTCCTTAGTGTTCACATGATTATTGGTGAGTTAAAGTAATTCATCCAATATGTTTGACAATAATGTGCCCAATACATAGATAAATGTGCCTTCTTTTAGTCCTTAAGATAGAACAACTTGGGAGATAGCTAGCTTTAAGTTCTTTCAGGTCAAACATCTCCCTCTAAAATCTCATAATAAAAGTGGTGAAATGACTTTCTTAGTTCTTGGTTCAACCTAAGAAGGGATTATAAGTTCTTTTAAGGCCTCCAAGTAATCGCGCAAAATGTAACAAGCATCCTTTTGAATTTTGCAAATGAGGCAATCACTCCAATAAGTAGGCGATTGAATTAGCTAAGTGTCGACTCCTTGAGGGTTGTGAATAACAACGCGCACTTCAGCATCATTCATGTCGAGCAACAAAATCATAGATTTGATGTTGGCAACATGATTCCCTTTATAGGACTCTCGGTTGAGCATCTTGGATTAAGAGGTTTCCTCACATCTATTATTTCTCTGGAGAAGGTGTTTTTCACCTTCAAGTTTTACTCTCCTCGCCAGCCAAGTAGGAGGGATATATTCTTCATCATTTTTGGTGATGCAAGGGAGATTAATATTGGGTATTGAGGATAATGCCTTGCTCTCTTGTCTTCTATAGTGAATGGCTAAGTTAAAAGACCCTTAAGTTATACTCTCCCGCACGTGCCTCGATAACCCCACCAAGGCATCATAAATCATCTTCATGAGTCTTTCCTCCATCTACATAAGAAAAAATGAGGATTCAAGAAATTTAAGTAAAAGGCTAAAGAAATCTTAAAAAATGCTCTAGTAGATCACTAATGTTTCAAAAAATATCCAAAATATGACTTTTCATCCTTTATACATAGGAACCCAAGAGCAATAGGGAATATTATACAAAAAAAGCTAAAAAGTATGATCATATGACCCATAATGAACTGTTCATGATACGTGTCCTGATATAATGGTTGTTTTGCATAGTTCTTTTACCTTTTTGCAGCTTTTGGTTTCGGGGCGAACACCCTTGACAAGTGTTCATGGGTGGGTCTAGAAAGGCTGGTCCTCTAGACGAATCATGCTGGATGAGTCAATGATAGCGAGTCCTTTGGCCATTTTAGCGACCTCTTGGGAACAATTCCCAAGTCATTTGAATGACAGAGATGCCTCCACTTGAACTATGGTAATTGAAAGCATACGATTGGTTGAATATGGGGGAGCTAGCTTGCATGTAGCTGAGTTACTTGAGAGGATGACTTCCACTGAAGCGAATCCCTCAAAGCCTAGAGGGGACATATACAAATCCCTAGAATTACTATTAAGGGTGATTTAATTTTATTTATAGCATTCTAATTATAATTTTATTTATTTATGTAGTAAAAATTATAGCATTATGATATCATCAAGAGAATATGAAATTCCAACCTCATAGTTTCTATCTAGCCATTTTTAATGTTCTCGCTCTCTCTCATCATTGAAAATATAGACTTATGAACAATCTCATCTCAAGCAAATACATTTGAGTGAATTGAGCTTGACTCGAGCAGTCTCTGACTCGAGCTATGTGCAACTAAGCCAAGTCCTCTTGTTAAGTTGGTTTAAGCATAACTTGATAAATAAGTCATGAAATGATCTTCAAGAACAAACAAGCAAAATTCGAGCTACTCAAGCCTCATAAACTAATTAGCCTATATATATATAATTATTTAAAATATTTTAATATTACATCTCACTCATATCAAAACTTCATTTTCTTGTAATTATCTTATAAATTCTCATCATATATTTTTTTTTTCAACAGTTGGTTATATCAAAAAAAATAATATAATAAATAAGCTTATTCATGAGCCAATAGACTCAAACTCAAACCCAATTAATTAATCAAACTAAAACTTAAATTATAGTCGACTCTAACTCAGCTGAACTCATTTACATCCCGAGGCAAATTGATTCAACCCTAATCCAAAATCAATTCACAATCATTAATTGTAACCTTAGGCTAAACTAAATTAAGATAGTCTAGAACACTCAAATCATAATTTGAACCAAAGTTAGCTTAATCACGTTGATTAAAGTTGAATCAACACAAATGCAATGGAGCCTCCAAGCTCTATCATATCTAGTGGTGATGTAGAAGCTCATGAACCAAAAAGATGCAGGAAAGAAAATCTGGGCTGGCTTATATAATTCATTGACTCTATAAAAAATCAAAATAAAGGATCATTTTAATCCCTAAAATATGTAAAAATAATCAAAATAATCTAGACTTTTTTAGTTGCTCTTTAAGAAATTGAGAGATCAATATAATCATTTAATATAATTGAAAATTATTTTGATAATTCTTGCAGAATTAAAGAATCATTTTAATCTTTTCTTCATTAAATATGTATTCGCAAGCATAAATTTAATAGACACACAAATGTCCTTGCATTTACCAACGAACCAAAGAGCAGTTTGGACCCACTTATAGAGATTTCTATAAGGAATTCCATAGAGGAATCTCATCCATTGAAATGGAAAAGAAAACCAAACAAATTAGAAGAATTATTCTTTGGGGAGACCAGGGACCGGACGCAGAATGCTGTTCACAGATCATCAAGAATGCGCCACGTCAACAATACTAAGACGCGGTACCGAGCAAGAGGTGATGTGTCACATTCTGGTTGATCTCTGAACGACGTTCGGCATCCACGAAATAATTAATCAACAAATTACCACCTTATAAGGTCAAGTATTACTTTAACATGAGTGATACATCACCCCGAATACACAGTAACCTTACCAGATTTCCAAATGCAGCAGGCAGATTGCAATTTGGCCTCATTAAATAATCTGAAGACAGAATGCAAAATCTCCCATTATGTCAAAATCCTGCAAAAAATTCAACAAATAGGTAAAAAAACCAAGTTTGAAAAACATAATATTGATTCAAATTCTAAACCATGGGAGAATCTAGCCCTAAAAAATAATCCTGGGACAGCACCAAAATGTAGGAACTTATAAATGTTCCAGCAAGTCAGCACAACGCATTGGGCGCCAATTAGTTTGTCAGAGAACATTAAGGAATAAGAAGCAAACATGAACTTCATAGATTATAAAAGAAAATGGAGTTTCATAATATAGAAATGAGAGCTAACATTGTTGAGCTTTTCCAACTAGCAGGAAATGTATCTTACAAAGAATCTCCAGTGAGGAAATCAAATTTTTACATTCTTTATCATTTTTTTCTGACAAAAAGAATAAGGAATTTGGGTAAAGGACATAAGATGGTGGTGCCTTCACATTTACAGCACCTAGTAAAATTTTGCTGTACAGAACCTGTTACATGTCCAGCATTCTTCAGACCCAATAGAAGCAACAAAGCCACCAATCCACCAGAATAAAAAACAATCAAAACACAGCTTCATACAATTACACTGCCTTGATCCATGCGTTTCCCACTTATATCAAAGCCGGAAAGGTGCCACAGAAGGGAACTAAGTAGGGTATTTACAAACTGTGCCAAGGCAGGGCTGCATGAGCAGTTCACTGTTAAAGATTAGTTAGGTTACTTGACGCGAAAGTCGTGTCTGAAGATAGTCAAATTTTGGGTAAACTTGTCACGATTTCGTGAATCCAAACTCCGATTCACATCAGCCATTAGCTTGTCAAAGCAAACTGCAAGGCGTTGCTGTTGATCCACTGGCTGCAATTTGGAAAAGATAATCAAAATGTTAGATTTCAAAAATCAAATACCAGAAAAAGACTGCTGCGAAGAATTTAACTGAGGCTTCGTTTGGAACGGTTTTCTTGTTGCTTCTTAAAGCAGCTTTCTAGTACAAAAATTTTAATTATTGAACTAAAAAATTGCTTTAAGAAGCAACAAAAAGGATGTCCGAAACGAAGCCTAAGTCATGATACTGGGTAAAGGCCTGCTTGAACATATGGCTCAATAAGCAATTTGAGATCCATGGATAACGGCGAACACTTGCGTTGGTCTGAAAAGGAAGACCAAATATGATGTCTAAAGCCTACTTATTGAGGATGGGATCTTAGAAAAACTTTTTACAACAACAGTACTAACTAAAAATAATAAATATGTATTTTTTTTCTTTGTTTCTACTTTGAAAATAAGACCCAAGAGTTAAAGAAACCAGAAGAAATGATTTCATTCTCATATTAAGGCCCAAAAGTTGAATTTAAAGAAGGGAAACAGAGCACAATGCTTCATAGGCTCATCCGATATCACACGAAAGCATTAAATTGAGCACTCTGAATATAAATCTAACTGTTAAAGAACCAATAGCTGGTCCTATATAATTCAAAAAGATCAAGAATGAGATTAAGTATAAGCCACGCTAATAACCTGTGAGGCCAGAATTTGAGCTTTCAAATCGCTAAACACCTGCAGATAAAGGCAGAATTTAATTTTCAAAATGGAATCGTCTTTAAATCTTATTACAAGAAATGCACCAGAAAATGTTTATAAATATACAAACGAGAAAAAATTTCTAAAAAATCACAACTAACAATGTCATTGAGAAAAAAAAATGCATTGTGAATTAAACTAGAAAACTTTCCTAGCAAAAATATTCTACTTCATAAAAACATTCTTCCTTTCATTGTGATTTGGCGATCTATTCCCAGAAGTAGAAGAGCTAAGCACAATCCAAAGATTGTTATTTGACGTTCTACGTCCAAAAGTAAAAAGAGCTAACTAATAACTAATACCCAAAATAACTATCACGAGTCATTTACTTCAGCTGGATTTGTTTTCTTGTATATTAATCCATCTTGTGCCAGTATTCTTATTATAATTTTCTTGCTTTGTCTTATACTAGTTTTTATGAAGGAAGAATATTTTTGGATGCTGCTTATAACAATTGATCGTAACAAATATTTTATTAGTAGAATTCAAGTTATAGAATATTTAATAGTAATAAATCTAGTTGGAGGGGGTTATAACTTTGGGCGATCCACTCATTAATAAGAGTACTCATTTTATATATCTCGGTCTATTACTCAAAGTGATAGTGAAATAGATGGGGATATTATTAGCAGAATTCAAATTGGATGGTTGAAGTGGAGGAATGCTTCGGGCTTCTTCTGTGATAGAAAAGTACCACTCAAACTTAAGAAAAATTTCTATAAGATAATGGTGAAACCACAATGCTTTATAGCGCAGAATATTGGTCATTAAAAGAGAAGCATAACATTAAGTTAAGTGTTGCATAGATGAGCATGCTCAGGTGGATGAGTGACTTTACTCTTAGAGACTAGATACGAAACGAGTATATATGTCAAAAGGTTGGAGTAGCTCCAATGGAAGATAAAATTAGAGAGAGACGCCTTAGAGGATTTGGTCACATAAAATAGCGGCCTTCCGATGACTAGGTTAGGAGTGTAGAGGTATTAGATTTCACCTATTGGACCTAAAAAGACTTGGTTAGAAAATATTAGAAATGACCTTTCTTTATTAGATTTAAATGAAAATTTTACTTTTAACAAGACAATGTTAAAAAAGGATTCATGTAGCCGACCCCACGTAGTGAGATAAAGACGTGATGTTGCTGTTGTTTGTTTTGTATTGAAATAAATTTATGCTTAAATTATTTTTAAATAAAATCATAAAAAAGTTTATTATAACATAATCATCCACTTCAGATAATTAATCTTAATAATGTGCAGAACCACTTAAAACATGCTATACTGTAAAGTTGATCCATAAAAATTCATTTAAGGTCACTGAGTTGATCTTCCTATCGTTAGACCAACGTCTTAATTTAGTTCTCTGAAGATAGACTTCTCTCTTAAGTTTTGTCAGTCTATTTATTGTGGACAGCATCCTCCGGAAGGCTATTAACAGCAAGCAGGCCTTCAATTCTTCAATGATCAGCTAAGTAGCAGTAGTAGAAATAAAATAACAGCTGCAATGCTGCAGAAAACCGGCAGCAAGGTAACAAGCACCGGCAGAGCAGCAAACAATACAGCGATAGCTTCAGCAGGCAGTTAGCAAGCAACAGTACTTGTAAACAATGGAAAGGAGTGGCGGCAAGGGATCTACACCCTTCGGTTCCTGCTACAGCACCAATAGAGGAAACATGATGACTTCAGGGAGAAAGGTAGAGTGACTTGAGAGCCAAAAAATTTTGGGGACAAGTTTTCATTGAATTTACTGCAGAATTTAGGTCTTCAAATAGGCAACAAAAATTATAATATCTAATAGAATCCCAAAACACACTTCTAAAAAAATTAAAAGCACCACTTTTAGTTTCAATTTTCTATGTCAAGCAAACACAACCTAAATGTAAAAACAATGATGCCGCCAAGCTCTATGGCACCTAGTGATGATGTGGTAGTTCATAAACCAAAGAGGTAAGAAAGAAAGTCTAGATTGATATATATTGAGTAAAAACCCCAAAAAAGTCACCCAACTAGGGGTGCAAACGAGTCGAGCCGAGCTCAACACCCCTGAGCTTTAGCTTGATTAATTAATCGAGCTCGAACTTTATTCTACGAGTTCAAGCCGGCTCACTTATTATGAAAGAGAAACGATTATGATTTAAGAAATTATTAAAATAAAATGATAAAAAGAATGCAAAATTATAAGAGAGAATTAAGAATCACTGAGGGTCCATTCTAGTCAAATGTTCTTCATAAGAAATGTATTCATGAAAAGTGCATCCAAAGCATCTTTTCTTGTAGTTGTTCAATATGTAATTTAAAAAGAGTTTAAAAAAATAGCTCCAAAAGTAAACAAGCCTTTCGGAAAAAAAAATAATGTAGAATGACCATATTCAAATCCAAACAAAGATTGCCCCAAGCCTTGATAAAAAATTTTCAGGCCAACTGCTTCCCAATGATTCTCAGTGTTTCACAGGGCAGGCCTAAAACAATACAATTGAAATAAAGTTTCAATGGCTCAGGCATTAATGCCCTATCTGCAATCAACAAATCCATGTTTGATTATTCATGTATGAATACAAAGACTCAGGTATTTTTCCTCCTTCCCTCAAAAAAAGAAATGGGTCCATAGCAAAACTTTTCTTATGAATGACAAACAAACTGGAAGATTTTTTGGGAAAACTTTATCTTCAAAGAACTACAGAAATCAGAAATTTCTGAAAGAAATTTGTTTATTGAAATTGCAAGGATCCTACATGTCATTTAATTTGAATGCATTTGGTTCTTGAATAAGAATCTTTCTGCTTCTGGTCTGGGTACCAAAAATATGAAGGATTCATTTAGACACAGGGAAGTCAAGACGAAAGTACCACTCGAACTTTAATATCGAGAACACCTAAGCAAAGCTGACTTGCTGAGTAATGACTAATACACAAGTGTCATAATGTGCATTTGGTTATTGACCTTTTTTTTATTGATTTAAACTTATGAAGGCTAAATTTTAACCAGCTTAAAAAAAATAAGAACATTTTCAATACCTTGATAGCACCTTTGTCAAGATCATCTAGTTTTTCTAAGGACTTAAATTTTCAAAATAAATATCGAACACCAAGAATTGAGATTTTTAACACAAAATTACAATAATATAAATTTAAATCAACAGCAAAGAAACAAAAACCCATATACATCAAAGAGAAAAGCTCCATACCTGTTCACTGATCAAAATCAAGCTCAGCATTGGCCTGCTAAGGCTCCACTGGTTACCACAATCTTCAAATAGAACAATCTCAAATAGTGTCTTAAGTATCTGTTTAAACAACTTTTGCAGTGAGAAACTAAACAACTTTTGCTGTGAGAAATTCAACGTTTTGATGAACAAGGTTTGCAATATTCACAATAGAATAAATTAAAACATCCTAAAAAATTACAACTTCCACAAGCCATAAAATAATAGATTTCAGTTAATGAAATTGGCAACTGGAAAGTATCAAAATTATAAGCAACAGATACCATTTGTTGGCATTACATAGTGCAAACATTTTATTCATACAGGCATCTGCCAGAAAACTCTAAATAAATAGATAAATATAAGAAATGACTCAACATCCCAATATTAGAAATAATAGAAGAAGCGGCAGTTGTTAGCATCGCAAAAGGGACGTGCATGCTAACTGCATACTTCATGCTGATAAACTTCAATGCAATCGCATGAATAACAGGAGAAAAAGATTGCAGTAAAATAAGTCACCGATTTAGCATTTTCTTTTATCATAAATTCGTTCATACCTCAGGGAACAGATTAGGACACTCGACAATATGCCGAGCAAGATTGAGTGCAGCTTGTGGTGGAGGTGACTCCGCTATGGTGATATTATTGAAGTAAAATGCAGCAAGGTTATCGACTGCACTAGCACACTGTATAAAAGTAAATTTAGTCATGCAAAAATGTATATAAACCACGTAAAAAACGTAATTTGATTATCCACAATAAGTTATTTGCAAAAAATACCATAAGAAAGCCTCAAAATGAAAAAGTGATCTTATACCTGTGATGAGATACTGGTATCCAAACCTTTCAAACCAGACTCTAGAGAGCCCACAATATGCATAAAAGTACTTGTATCCAGATTTAAGATAAAAGTAATATGGTTGTTGAATAGAACCTCCATAAATGCAAAATAAGCTCTGGTAAGCTGTAAGTTGGGTGAAAAATATTGTTAGGCTTTATAAAGACGACTTCCAAGATAAAAGCATGAAAATGACATTAAAGTAACCATTCAAGTGCAACCAGTGCCCCCCCAAAAAAAAACCATGTTCCCCTTAAACTAAAATGGATCAAGTTGCAAAATACAGCAGTAGCCATTTCAGACTTGATTTTCTTTGAAATGATAAAACATTGATTTTAAGAAGACAAAATTGCCAGCAAACTGTAGTTCTCAATTGCACTCCAGACCTAATTTTCTTTGAAAATTCCCTTTATTACTTATCTAATGATCTTACAATCTTAATTTTCTTTGAAAATTTCCTCTGCTACTTATCTAATGATCTTACAAGAAAAATATTTGTGTAAGAAACTGTTGAGAATACAAAATCTCGTGGATTGATGAGTTGGGAAAAACAAGAAGGGAATTAGTGGAATCAGAGCATAATGAAGGGATTGAATGCCCATTCATTTCATTATTGTATTCCTACACGTGGCAGAAACAAGAAAGAAAGGCCTGCTCCCATAGATTGGTGACTTCAAAGGGTATTTGATGCTAGAATGGAACGTACGTAAACAAATTTTAATCAGTGGTGCCTGTAGCCATTCAATATAATTATTTATTTCCTTAAGAATTTTATAATTTCCTAATTGATATGAGCATCATATGTGTATAAATACACACGAGATGAATAAACAATCCAAGCCTTCTAGCCACCTATTTTCTACAGAGTATTAGAGCACGATTAGGGTTGACATAGTTATAAATTGTTTTTAGTCCTTGGTAAACTTCTCTGCAATTAATTAATTAGTCTAGTGTTGTTTTCTTTTCATATCTTCTTAGGGTCAATTTAGTAATTAGGTCTCTTAGGTGTTTAGGAATGACTATCTACTACTTAGGACGAAGCACCTAGGGTTTGCTACTACTTAATCTTCCACAAAAGATAAAAACCTTTAACCTAACAGTATTATGTGGCACAATTATCACAAGGAAAGGAGCGTATCAAAGAGAAATACAAGAAACTCCATGAAAAACTCCAAAGCTATAGTGGAAATAAAAAAGGTCAATCAAAAGGTCATGCTTATCTTGTTGAACCAAAGGGCTCAACTCAAAAAAATGGCAAAATAGGGAAAATCCTAAAATCTCTCAAAAAAAGCTTCAACAGCATGCTCTCTAGCTCAAAGTGACATAAGTTCCAACTCTTGTACTTGTAATGCCTAAAGTAATTCACCTAATTTTTTAATAATAGATGTGTGTGTGTATGTGTATATGTATAATGTATTTCCCAAATAAAAACCTTCTCCACTTAACCTTAAGTCTCGATTATTTCTTGTGTGTTAACATAAAAATGCTTCATCAAATGCTATATCGTACGGTTTAATGCCCTAAAAATCACACTAAGATTTGACGTTCTTAAGCAGTTGAGGCCAATTTGAGTGGTTGGATCACAATTCAGGATTGAATCTTATGCATTGGGTTCTTAAAAGCAGATGCAAGTAAGTTCCCACATTCAAGAACTACTATCTTAAAGGTTTGAAGTTTCAATTACGAAGACTTGGATGTCACCTTCAATTATAGTTCTGCAACTAATAACTGGTAAAAAAATTGACATCATGATGAGTAGTTAAATAGAGATTATATAGAAGCAATGTTGATTATGATTCAATGTATTCTTCTCTTCTACAGATTATCAGTAAAAAAAAATAATGATAAGAATTTGGAATAATTAGTCACATTAATTAAACATTTTGATTAGGCTAATAAATGGTGCAATTATGAAATAAGATTAAATTAGAATAATTAATCAGTATAATTAAAGAACAAATAAGATAAATACTTATTGTTAAGAATAACCGAGACAACTTATTAGAAGTTAATTAATAATTAGCAAGTTAAATAAATAAATTAGTAATTTAAAAGTTGATTAAGTTGTTATAAAAAGATTAAAAAAATAGAAGGAATATTGAGTACTCAAAAATGAGTTCATAAAATTAAATTAAAAAAAAAAAAAGCATCACGAAAAAAGCTTGCTTCAATGAAGTTCAAATCCAAACTGAACATCCAACCATTCTACAACACTTACCACGAAACAAACTGGCCTCTACTTAAAAAAATAAAAAAATAAAAAACTGGCCTCTACTATTCAATAGTACACTGATGCAAAAGTACAATATGACAATTAGCTAGTATGTATTTTGCTCTATTTTTAAGTTATTAAATGGCTCAATCTGAGTATTAAAGACTAACCATTTTTTTTCAAATAATTATTAAATGTATTCTTCTCTCCCATATAACCACTCTTTGTGTAATGGGTAAGGCAACATGTATCAAGTCCCCCTAAGACGACACATCAAAAGAAGCCTCAAACAGTGTGTGCGGTCAACAAAGAGCGATATTATACAACCTTACAGAGATCATTAAAGAAATTTCACCAAAAATTATATTTGACGGCCCCTCAAAACAAAGGAGAAAGTTATGCATGCAAAGTAGGCTTTCCCAAGTTTGTTTACCCTTGCAACCATCAGAGGTAACACAGTTCTTTCCATGATCCTACTAAAGCTAATATCAAGAATAGAGCAATATGATTACACGTACAGCTTTCTCTAGGCCAAGACAATTAAGCAGATAAATTTACTTCCTAAGAAAATAAAAAACACCATACAATTTCCTTGCAGAAACAAATGATGGCAAAGTGCAACTAGGGGAAACATATATGAAGCTACAGCATACCTTTCGGAAGGCCAATACATCAACTAGAGGAATAGAAAGTGTCATCTTAAGTGCAATGTCAAGCGCTTCTGCAAGTGCCCGATCACCATATAATTCGAAAACTCCAAAATTAACATAATTCCCGGACAAAGCTGAAAACAAAGTATGGCCAATATCTCAAATGGTTAATATGTATGCTTTTAACAAAGAACTAATATTTTTGACAAGTTAGCATATATTAAAAATAAAAATATCAAAGCAAAACTCATCATAATAGTAATTAAGAGGGTTTGAAACAAAGGGGAGCTAAGTTGGGACAAATGCACCAATAATCAAACTCATTTTCAATCAAAAGCTTACACCATTGGTGGAAGTCAACCACTTGGTGTTTCTACATCAACATATTGTTCATCCAGCAAATGTGGGACTAAAATTAATGCTATCATATGTCTTAACAGAGACAAAGGCAATCTTTTACATATAATTTTGAGTTCACTTGTCGAAATATCTCCCTTACATTCTGGCTGCATCAGATGTTATTTCTATTATATTTGAGCGTCATGGTAGAAGTAGAACATTTGGCAATTAACTTTGTTCCATCTCTTTCTCCATCAAGGCCATTTCCAATGAACATTAAAAAGGTATAAACCAAATTTTATTGCAGAATATATTAGCTGGTCATTTCTATAATGTGGTCGTTTCTTTCATTTGTCCCTGAATAACTCTAGGGTTGCCAGGGTAGTCCAATAAGTTGCTCAAGAGATTGTTTCTTTTTTCTATTGATAAATGTGAAGACAGAACAGCTTAAACTAATCAAATGAAATATTATTTGACAAATTCTGAGACAATGCAGGGTGTTAATGCTCAACGGGCAGAAATTGACTTTAAAAATTATTAAATTTAAAAAAAAAAAATACGGGCAGACATTGACTAGAGAGATAAATAAATTTAAGTTTGCTTGTGAAGGCTGCACCTAGTGACAAAGGCGGCCTTCTTCCAACAATTTGTGCCGGCTTGTCAAATGAATGCATTAGTTGTGCACTATTGCTGCAGTTCAAGTGGCATTATCTTTCCCGCTATCATTTTTTTTTCCATTGGGCCATTTTGGTTGTGCATTTTAAAACAATCTCAAATCTATTTTATCTACATTATCTGTTACCTATATATATTTCACTGTAACAACTTTACAGTTGCAAGAGTAGTTGAATCAGTTTTCCATAAGATTGAATTTACCATATAAATAAATGTGCATATAGATCAGCTCGTAATGATAAAACAAAAGTTTAAAAGTTATATTAGCAACATGGATTAGATTTTAAAGATAAATGGAACTGATAATTACTACATAATAAACCAGGTCAAAAAGCATAAAACAAGATATCTAACCGAAGAAAAAGGGCTGATAGCAGAGAAATACAAGCATAAACTGAGAAGACACAGCGATATGCCCATACCTCTTGAAAGGATAGTTAAGGATATCCATATGCCCTTATATTTGTTGGCATATATATCTGAACTATTTGGAAGGGACAAAATCCTTGAACCATACGCCACAATTAACTTACTAACTTCTCTGAACAGAAGTATGCCATTAGGAGACGATGAATCAAAAGTCAAACGCTGAGACTTGTTCAAGACAAATTCAGCCATGAACTTTAGAAGAGGAGTAGTAACCTGAATGGAATGAATTAAAATCATTTAGATGTTCAGCGACAGTAAGATGTAGTATAAAACAAACAAGATACCCTAATGTTTAAAAAAAAAAAATAGAATGCACCAAAAAGTTATTTAGAATTTATCACCTCGCATTGCCTCAAAGGATAAACTAACACTCCTTTTATATGTTCAATCGTCTCAACGGTTGGCATATTTAAAAAATGAAATTGAAATTGATTAAATATGGGGAAGACAAAACGGAAACAAGGCACTAATAGTCAGTGATTCCATTTCTGTGAAGCTAACAGACATTGCAGCAGTAGAGAAGCTCAGACAAGAATGGTTAATGAATCTATGGACAAAATTAGTGTGCAATAATTGTGTAAGATTAAGTATGAGCCACAACTTTTGATGATATGATTAGGTAAAATAAATTTGTGACATGGGCATCTCGCAGAAGATGCACCAACAGGTGGGGAACTGAATTAATGTGAATGAATGAAAATGAAAAGAGGTTGACTCTAGGAGAAATATTTTTCCTGAAAAGATTTTGATAATTAGTGATGACTATGATTACAATGATGCCAACCTCCCAAAAAAAGACGAGTACGGAAAAAAAAAAGGCATAAATAAAAGGAGTCATAAAGCAAAGGACCTTAATCAAAAGACAAAACCTATAAAATACAAAGGATTTTCTATTATACCATTCTAGAATGACTAAAATTATTTTTAAAAAGTGTCACATCTCGCGTGCGATCATTTTTTTTCATGCAATAATTCATTCAATATGAATGTCAATCTTAGTTGTTTTCATTTCCCCAAGCACGCCAGCACAATTCATTTTGCTAGTAGAAACTATTTGGGCAATTTCAACTTTTAATTGATGCATTTCGAACAGCATTTTCACAAATTCACATCTTTCGCTCATCATTTTCAACATATTTAGTCGGGTTGACCTCGGTGTAGTTATCAAGATCAACAATGAAAAATATGTTTACTTTTGTTGATGTGAACAAGAAATAAATAAGATTAAAAATAGGTGATAAAACATCGGTGTGGTGATAAAGAGAGAGCCATTTAAAATCAAACAATTCATTAATACTACTACTTACAAATAGAAAATTCCAACAAAGTTCTAGCATTATTAAAATCTTTAATGTACTTGATTTGACTTTACCTCATGAACAAAAGCCTTAAACTTTTTCTCTCTTGCATGTCCTCTTTGTGAATTCACACCCAACACTATACAATATAGTTCTACATATATTGCTCCAAAAGCTATCCTAAATGATGAAATTGTGTCCACTACGGATGGTTAATTCCATAAATATCTTCTGCACAAGCATGATAGAATTATATATGATGATTCAAGAATTATATCCCATGAATAGCAACAATCATTCTCTAATTTGATTGATGAATATCAAATATTAAATTTACTAAAGCTGCTTTTTTCTAATCTAGGCAAATTTGATGGAGACCTAGAGGTTTGAACTAATCAGAAAATACAAATATTATATATTGAGATGGCAGGCCATTTAGAATCATGAAACTCATCAACACAACCACTTATAAATTGAAAATTCCACTAAGTTTTTGCATTCTAACTATTTTTATTATACCTTATTTAACTTTATCTCATAAACAAACGCCATGAACTCTTTCCCTTGCATCTCCACTTTGTAAATTCACTTCCAACACTTCACTAAATAGTGCGACATATCTAGTTCCTAGAGCTATCTCAAATAATGAAATCGTATCCACTCTAATGGTTGATTCCATAATATCTTACGCATTAACATGATAGACCTATATATGATATTGTGAAGATTATGAAATCCATGAATCGCAACAACTATGCCCTAATTTGTTTCATGAATATCAAATATTAAATATATAAAAGTTGCATTTTTTAAGCTAGGCAAACTTAATGGAGATCTAAAAAATTACCGTCATTAGAAAATGTAATTGGACTATCTTTAGATTAGCAAATAAGTAATTCGATGTTGCCCATTAGAATGGAAAGTGCTCTTTATAATTTCCATTTAGCAGCTTGTTATTTTTAAGTCATTAATGTAAATATGCATTTGGTGATTTTAAGTCAATGTAAATATGCATAGGATGATGTTACCAAAAAGAACGAGGTATACACTCTAATATTAAAATTTCTTACTCTAATTCAATTTATTTGGTAGGGTCCATTCATTCCTCTGGTTTGCTATTTATTTGATTTAGTTACTTTATAATAACTATTTGCGACTGATGCTGGTTCCTACAGCGGGTCGCTACTTTATGAAATGTTCCTGTCAGTATCCTTAAGCAACCGTGATTATTTGTTAAACCCGTTATGATGATATTCTCTATAGGTTTCAACGATTATGTCAGTTTCATTCCATCATTTTGCGGCCATACCGATATATTCCATCATGGAATGGTTGCTAATGATACTTTAGAATGACAATTATTTCGATGGTTTGGGAGTGACAACTGATGCCAAATAAAAAATTAAAAATATTAATATTTTAGGCATGTAATTTTCAAATTACTTAATAAAATTATTCAATTTTCTCAAACTTGTATGCTTGTTGGATGTAAGATTTTTCAAGTATAGTGCAAATGCGACTAGAGGAAGTCTTCTCATTATACCAACATGAGGCCTATATTACTTTATTTTGGTGACCTTTGATCATGTTCTCTTTTCAATATCTTTTAAATTGATTTTTAGAAGTGTGATTGTTTTTAGTCGAAATTGCTACCAGGAATTTTTTGATAGCAGTATGATTCCTTAATAATTTCAAATTTTAACTCAATGATCAATGCATTATTATTCGGATATTATTCCCTATATTTTATGGCTTGCATGTGAATTCTAAATTTTGATCACATCACTTAACTACAATAAAAAAATCAGAGTTCATAATACATCCTCTTTACTTATATGTACGTTCTCAAAAAATTGTAAGACATACTTAAAGAAAGTCAATATTTACTTTTGCTTTCACCAGCATCAAAATTCGCCTTATGCCAAACAACTAGGTTTCAACATTAAAGCTTTCTTGGCTTTCACTCTTGTTGACTACAGCAGGCTATGATGGACTTGTACTAGCTTTTATAAGTTCCTTTGAACGAATAACCATTGACATCCATGGACTCCTGCCCCATTCACATCAATTCTATCGAGATCTTATATTGCATCATTGTCTCTCATTGTGGAGAAACAAAATACGTAAATTTATTTTATATGCACTTATGATATAAAGATATAAAGGCGCTATGTCCAGACATAATCAAAGGTTTAGGCTTTAGCACAAATCCATCCTAATACACATTTCTAGCACAGTCTAATTAATTGTCAGTGACTTTAAACCAATATAGACAATCTTATAGCAGTTTTATAGAATTACTTTGAAATTCGCATCCTTCTTATTAACATTGAGGCAACCCATAGCAATTTTTCACAGCAGCTAAAGTAAGGTCTGCCATACTCCTTTCGGATGAAGTCTGGGCTAAATCTCTGCCTACTTCTCATACTCACTGATTGAAATTATAAGCACAAATAAATAAATTTCGTTTTCAAGTAACGAACATATTTTGAGAATGTAAATAGCATAAATAAGAAATAATACAATGATAATGTTAATCAAGCATAACCTCAATTATCTCAAATAAATATATACATAACCAAAAGCATCACCTGAGGTGCATCCGTCCAATGAGCAATGGCCTTTAAGAGCAGCGGCATATGCGCAGGATATAACCAATCAAACAAAAGTCCATATGTCCTCCGACTAACAAAAATGAAGTAACAAATTAATTAAAAAATTTATTTGTTAAATTGTAAGTGAGGTAATGATATATCATTCTAAAATAAACAAAAAGAAAACAAAAATTATAAGGAAAAAAATCACCTGTTTGTTGCCATTGCAATGCCTCTAAGGTCCCTCATTAAACCAATAAATGCATATTTCACTGAATCAGTGCGAAAAGCAGTATCTGGAGTTGCTTCGAGCCCTACCATAACCTGCAGCAGTACAAAGAATAAAAGATTAAGGCGATTGTAAATGGATCAGGTTGTTAACTGGAATAAAGTGATATTGAATTAATGGACTACACTTTAGAAAATCTTCCAGGTTAAAAGTCAATACAGATGCAAAAATAAAGAGTTCGATACACATCATAGAAAGCATCAGCGCCAACAATCCATTATTTGAACTTCATAAATGAGAATTTAACTAGAAAAAACTTTAATACCTGTAGAAGAGGATCCATTGAAGACTTAAATTTTATAGGGCTATCTTCCATGAAGATCAAGTAACCAATAGTGTAATAGAAGGTTGTTCTACACCGCGAGCATCTAAATTCCTCCAAAAAGGGGAAGTTTTCCCTCTGAAATTTTTTACAATTTTAGTAAACAGTGTAGAATTATTCGTATGCTTTCTTTAAGAAAAGAAAGAATAATTAGAGAACAAGAATTTTTTTATGTTACCGTGTGATTCCCAATGATAAATTTAACAGTATCAAACTTAAGCAGCAATTTCCCAGTCATATATCTGCAGTCAATTTCTCAATTAAAGCACTAAAAGGATATTATGGTTAGACAAGAAAAAAGGAAAAAAAAAAAAAACTAACCCGGATGCAAGCTCAAAGAAAAGGGTCAACGTATGTTCAATAACATCCTCACTCTGCATTAGTGAGAAACAGTGATGCTTTAAAATTAACACTGATAACAAATAGTTAAAAGAAGAGCACAAAGGGACAATTACCTCTGTGTAACACTTGAGATTGGTAACAATTTTTCCAACAATGGCATTCAGTAGAACTAAATGATCGTGTAAACCAAGAAGCTCTGACAGCCTCGAGTATAACTGCTGTTGCATGTAAACTACATAAGTTGGAAAAGAAATTTCACAATGTTTCAGTAGATATTGAAATAAAATACCTTTGATGAATGCATGGCTTGATCACCAACATAAGATTTACGAAAGTTCTGAAAAAAAGTTATAATGGCTCGATCAAGTCTTTGCTTGCTTATTTCCCCATATCTCTGTAAGTGACTCAGCAGTCAGTTTGTAATCTTGTATGCAAGTAACAAATAATTATAATAATAAATTTTTACCAGTCACACAACTTCAAGATAAAGCAATCTACAACAAACTTTGTTAAAAAAAACAACAACAAGGATAAAGCATTTGAAAGAATAAAGCATGTCAAAAAGTAATTTCAATACGAGTTTTCAATGTGAAAAGACCATATGTAGAAAAAAGTAAAGATAAATTATATTTATTATCACCCCGGTATTCCAAGGATTGGCCATAACTTAGGACTAATTTCATAATATAGTGTACTAAGCTAATTGCCAAGCTCCAGTGGTAGATAAGATTAGAGAGTGTCACCTTAGATGATATGATCACATAAAATGTCAATGTGGGCTCCAAAAATTCAGCCCCGGCCTCCCCGCTCGCTTTTCTTTTTATTCGGCGAGGGGAGTTTTAACTAATAAGTTCCGAGGTAAATTTTGGAAGGCAATGAGTTTGTAGATAAGACACTACCACGAGATTTCGCCCTCATTTTGTGAGGACTTTATGATCTGATTTCTGGTTTCCTATAGGCGCAAGCCCCTATAGTTAATTACCCTTCCCGATCACGAGAGAGAACTTTCGATTAAGGCTAGTCGTCAATCAGATACGTATAGAGATACGTGCATCTGGCATATAGTAGCAGCAATGAGTTTGAGATTGGATAAGTCTGGATATTTGGATAGAGTTGATATTTAAAACAGAAATTGCACCATCTTGCACTTAAAGCGGATGGTGGTGGAATGGATGATAGGCCCGATCAAGATCCCATGGTTCCGTCGTACCGGGCTATCGTGGTCCCTGGTCTACTTAGTCAGAGGAGGTAGTCGACCCAACCTGACAGAAGGATCCTTGTCGGCAGCCATGGGTTGCTTCGTCCAAGGGTACCTTGTAGACCTGGGGTGGGTATTTGTCTAAGGGGACAAATTTGAATCCACCTTAGCTTACAGTCAAATTTAAATATCTTGAAATTTGGGATTTGCGGAGTTTTGAATTTTTTGGTGGAGCTTGAAAGGCATTTGAAAAATATTTGTGAACCCCTCCGGTTGAGATCTACATTCAACACGGCCATCATCGGGGTATTTGGGGTCATTTCCATTTGATTGAACCTTGTCGACCCTATCAACTTATCGATAGGGGATCGGGTTTCTCGTAGGCTTTATGTTTTGTTCATGAATTTTCTTTGTTGAAGGCCGAATATGAATGTACAAAATAAATATTCTTGTCAACTTCGTAACCGCATATTTATCTGATATCTCGAACCCTGTCTACTCCTATTTATCTACTTAGGAGGATCGGGTTTTGTAGGCTTCATGTCTTTTGTTTAGCGAATTCTCTTAATCATAGGCCTTGAAGGCCTAATATGAATGTAATAAAATAAATATATCAGCCGTCGCGACTGTATACTTGTTTATTGGTTCGAACCCTGTCGACTTCTATTGACCCGTATAAAAGGATCAGGTTCGAACTTGAATTCACTTATTGACCCGCACAGCATCCCTAGGCGTCACGTGTGTACCAATGACACGCTCGCTGGGGCCAATGCGGGTCGAGATTGTACTTTTCCCCTCGTGTACCTATGTGTATACAAACTACGGTGCACGTGTAAGGGGTATTTTGAAATAATTGTAGTTGTGCAAATAACTACCATTTGGATGCACACAACTTTTCATTTGAGAGCTTATACACGCCTTCTGTCCGCTAGTACGAATGTTGCGGATCCGGTGGCGTGACGTTGTAAGTTGTAGACGACTTCTGTCTGCTTGTATCAGTGTTGCAGATACGGTGGCGTGCGTCTTGATGTTGACTCCCCCTTTCTCATTCACCAGGGAGGACTTTCTGGATTTTGAAATTTGTTGCTTTGTAGATAACTCTTTATAAGATGATCATTGTAATGGATTTGTTATTCCCGGAGTTTGTGGGCACCAGAACTATTTTCTTCTTAAGTATAGAACTAAGAAGAGACTTTGGAACACCAGGAAGTTTGGTTATAATTTATTTAAACATTTCCTCCCTTCTGCCAGGGGGTGTCCTTTTTCGTACATCGGGTTGCTTTTGTACCCGGTGTACTGACAGCACTTTGATCACCACTGTCGTAGGTGATATATGTACTTGTATCCACAGTGATTTGATGTGCTTACGATATACCCACTGTTGTTATCCACAAGCGGCTCGTGTTTGTTTGTAGGGATCCGTTGTATTTGCTACGACCTCCTAGAGATGTTCATAGAAGACCCACTGTTCCCACATCATGCCCACCTGTCACCAATCTCAGGTGGTTTTGCTAATTGTACTTGTTTACAGGGGACGGTCTTTGACTGCTGGCCTCCAGTATTGCTATCTCAATCAACAGGCTTATGTGGGGATTGTTGCAGGAGTTCACGCATTGAGGTCTTGTAACGTACTTTCACTATTAACCATATAAATGTTCTTGTAGTTTGAACTCCCTCGTGTGTGATTCAAGCTTTGTTCTTTGTATATATTTGGATCCAAATTCAGTTTCATTCAGACTTGAATTCATCAAGTTTACAAGTCCCCACTTGATGTCGTATAGCCCGAGTTCAAACATGAGCTCGAAGTACATGTTCAAATTGATTGTCCAGGGTCCTCTGAAGTTTTACAAGTTTAATGTATGTTCGTATTGACTTGATTATGGTTTCAGTTTTATTTTATTTATTTGGGTTTGAGCCTTGATTAATCGTTTAGATTTTGTTCGTATTCAAGTCCTCAAGTCCACTGTTCTTCGTACAAGTCCTTTGCTTATTTAGTTCAATCTCTGCGTACTTTTGTTCGAGTACAGGTCTTCTATATTGTTGCCCAAGAAGATCTTCAAATTGTTCAAGTCTTTGTACATTTCAGTGAAAATTTCGGCAGCACCCCAACATATCCCCGTTTGGGAGAAAATAGGGGAGCTGGGCCTTCCCACCACGCTACTCGAGTGTGTATGGTAGGTGTCCTCAGTCACAGCGGCCGTACAAATTTTCATCCCACCACACTACAAGAGCGTGTATGGGGCCTTCAGCAGTAACCCGTACATCAGAACACCAGTAGCTCTCCCCACTACGCTATAAGAGCGTGTATAGGACTCACCCACCTCGCCATATGCTTCGCACCGGGCTCCCTCCTACCGTGCTACAAGAGCGCGTATAGGTGGTTCCCCGGTCCGCTGCAAACGTCGAGAATGGGACTTTGGAACATCATACCTTTGTGTAGCGGTGTCGTCGGTGATGTCGGTATCGAGGTCGAGGTCAAGGACCGTCCACACCACGTTACAAGAGCGTGTATAAGGTTTACCCACCTCGTCGTACCTGTCGCACCGAATTTCCCCCCACCGTGCTACAAGAGCGCGTATAGGGGGTCCACTGGCGCGTCAAGCGCGTCGAGGACGGGGTTTAAGTTAGAAATTTATACCTTGGAGTCCGGCGGGGAGGAGTCGTCGTCGGCGACTATCGGCTCGGTCGGCTCGAGGATCGAGGCAGGAGGGTTTACAATTAATGATAATTAATTAATAATTTAATTATAACTAATCTATCAATTACATTTAATTATAACTAATGTTATTTAATTATAATAACTATAATTGAATAATAATTAAATAATTAATTAAAATTAATAATATTTAACTATTCAATCATAATTAATTTAATTATTATTAATTATAATTAATATTAACTAATTAACACAATTAAAATAAATAATCTCTCCCTCTCCACTCTCTTTGGTTCGACAGATTTGCGGGATTTGGCCATAGAAGCCGACGGGAGGAAGAAATTTACTCTCACAGATAGCGAGCTCCCGTTGTTGGTTCTGAATCAAAATGTCGTAACTTCCAACCGGACAGGAAAGGGAGTGGTAGAAGGAGCAAAGTCGGACGGGAACACAGGAGGCGGCGAGCTCCCGTTCTTTCGTCCGATCAAAATGTCGTAACTTCCTTTCCAACAGGAAGGAAAGTCGTATAGGGCGCGAAGTCGAACAGCCAGGAAGGAGTCGAAGAAGCACGTGTGAGGGAGAAATTTATCTTCACAGCCGTGAGCTCCCTGTGTTGCTTCCGATCAAATGTTGAAACTTCCGATCCTACAGCAGCGGAAGTCGTCGGGGGAGCAAGGTCGAACCAGCCACGAAGGAGATGGAGAAGCAGCACCGAAGGGGAGAAAGTTAATTTCACAGAGAGCGAGCAGGGCAGAGGGCGGCGTCGGAGTGACGGGAAGAAGCGCACGAAAGGTAGAAGGTTATCTTCACAACCGGCGAGCTCCGATCGTGGCTTCCGATCAAAATGCAATAACTTATGATCCGCCTGGGGAAACGTCGAGGGAGGAGTCGAATAGCACCGGAGAAGCCGGAGATGCAGCGGAAGAGAGAAAGTGACCTTCACTGCTAGTGAGCTCCCGCGCTTGCTTCCGATCTAACGGTCATAACTTTCGATCCAACCTGAAGGGCACGTCGTCGTCGAGGGAGAAGTCGAACAGCACAAAAGAGTCGGGGTAGCGATGCGTGTGAGGGAGCGAGGGAATGAGAGGAAGAGGTCGAAGGCCTCTTTTCCTTGGCTCTTTAACGACGCGAGGTCGTGCGTCGTGGGAGAAATGTCGCAGACGTGTCTGCGACGTGCGGCGCAGAGATTAGGTAAGCATTTTTTTCTTTTTTTTTTCTTTTTTTTCATCGTGTAGCAGGTCAATAGTCAGCCTTCCGATGACCTGATTCGGAGAGTAAATATATGAGATTTGATCTATGTTAAACAAGATAGTGGTAGACCTAGAAAAACTTGGTTAAAACATATTAGAAATGACCTTTTCTTTTTATAAGATTTGAATGAAAATTTGATTCTTAATATGCACAATGGAGAAAAATGATTTATGTTGCCGACCCCATGTAGTGGATAAAGGTTTGATGTTGTTGTAGGCTAATTGACAAGCTAAACATGACCAATTACCAAAAATCTTCATGTAAATGAAGTGGTCCATTAGTGGTAAAGCTGGAAAACATGAATTTCACCATCAATTAGAAATAGCCTGCATGAGGCAATAGCAATAAAGGTTGTTAAAAAAAGTTTGTTATTCGCATACAACTCATGTTTAGCTTGCTACATAGCTCGTGTTTGATTCATTCGTTTAGCGAGCCAAACACTAAAAAATTATTTGAGCTCAATTTGTAAACAAGCTGAACACAAAAAGTCCTTTGTGCTATCATGTTCAACTCATTTTAGGCTCAAAACTAATAAACAAATAACTATATAATATAAATAATATACTTTTATTTATTTTATTGTATCATTTTATATTTTTAATGTACCGTGACTTTGCCTTTTCTGTGGCTTGGCAACCATATTTAAAAAAAAAAAGACAAATTCAATTCATTTAGCCCAACATCATTTGAAGCTTGTAGTTATACAATTTAAAAATAATAAAGAACACAGATCTATTGCCTAGGTCAATTCCCTGAGTAGTTGAGCTTGTAACCATGGATCATGTGGGAGATTTTGCAAGTAGTGGGCCCTGCGGATGTATTTTGATCATGTTAAAAAGATTTAATAATTTTTAAAAAATCCTTGGCAAGATTATAATACCTCGTATTGAGTTGTGTGTGTGTATATATTTATGACAATGAAGAAAATTTTCAAAAATGAGGAATAACAATAAATTAAAAACAAGCCAATTACAAACAAGCACCCATCTCACGCAGGCTCAACTTGTTTACACCTTTAATCAGGATCATTACATACAACAAAATGCAGTCCTATTGGCTTTGAAATCTTAGTGTGTAACTACAAGGTTAATGTTTAAGCACTTGACAAAAAGTTTAATTACAGTAAGGCTTAGAAACAAGGAAAAGTAATAAATTGTTAGGGAAAAAATGAATCTTTACCAGCCTTAGAGTTAAATAAAACAATATATTTTCAGAAATTTAGAAAGTCGACTCTTAATAAGACATAATAGAGAAAAAAAATTCATATAGCTGACCCCACGTGGTGGGATAAAGGCTTGATATTGTAGTAAGTTGAAACAAAAATTCAGAAAGAAATCTGATGCCTTGCAGATGGGGACATCGACAGGAGATTCCGGAGCATTTATAAGAGACGACACCGGAGATCGACGGCTACTAATGATTATTTGTATTTGTATTTTATATATTACGCATTTATTTTCAGTTTTTCCATTTTTACCCTTGTGGGTATTTGTTTGCTTTTGTAGCCCAAGGGGAATACTAGACTTTTGTACTTGTTGTCATGTGGAGCCTATTTATATGGCTCTTGTATCTTGTATGAGGTTGATTATTATGGGATAAAAAAATTTTGCTCTTGTGTTCTCTTTGTGAGTTCCTTCTTGAAGATCTCTTGGTGAGTTCTTTGTTTGAAATCTCTTTGTGAGTTCTCTAGGTAATTATTTTTTGAAATCTGAAATTGATTTCAATTAAACCTCCCTCCCATCCCAATTAAAACTGAAATCTATTTCAGTTTTCTACACATAGCTCTCTCCCCTCTTCCCTCCATGCCGCCGGCCCTTATTGGGCTCCCTCCCATTAATTCCCCTCATTAAAGATTTAATTGCAATCAAAGCTTGGGATTCAAATTTCAAAATTCTCCCTCCAAAACCACTTAAATCTGAAGTTAATTTCAGATTTCTTGAAAACTCCCTAAATAGTTTTCTAACCTAGCCGCCCCCTCTCATCCCAAGCCCCAACGCCGGCCGACACCTTTCCCCCTCCACTTCAATGTTGCATGGCGGATCCCGAACTTGAATGGGGACTTGTGTTCGACGCCTACGGTCATATCAACATCCTACGATCTCCATTCTTCGACGTGGGATTTGAGCACGACGACGCCATTGGAGATTACTTGGAGCGAATTCTCCCCGTCCTGGTGTCCGTCATCGACCGTCAATTTTCATATTACACTTGGATCATCAACAGTCATCCCACCGTACCACCTCCACCTCCGAGTTCCTTCTCAACAACGACGTTCCTTGGTTCCTCCCTCCTCGTGGCAACCTCATTTCTAGCGTGGACGCTCTTCCGCCGCTCAACCTAGTTTCGTAGGAAAGAGAGAGAAAGACCTCAAGGTGAACAACTCCGTATTAATCGTTGGATTCAAGTTACTAGATTTTAACTTTACGTTCTCCTTTGTATTTGCTTAAATCGTACGGTTAATTTCCTTGTAATTTCTTTGCCTAAGCAAGTGGAACACAAAGAATTTTTATAGCCAACTTTGAATTGACGCATGCTTTTATAGGAGGTTAAGCTACTAGTAAATTTTCTTTCATAATCTTGTGTAACTCAACCGTGCATCACATCACTTGCTCCCACAATCAAAATTCTGCACGATTGAGAAAATTTGGAAAATAACTCTGAAGTTGCCGGAAACCAGAACTCATGTCACAGTCAGAGAGTTGGACAATTTTCTGACAAAACGGTCAGACGAAAATTTAATTTTCATATGCAAAATTTGGATAAAAGAAGATGCAGCAACTCCTTGAAAAAAATGTCCAAAGTAGCAAGAAAAATGATAGAAGCAACATTTCAACATAACAAATGACCCAAACTTCTAATTAAAATGTAACGGGGCGTTGTTTGATCTATTAACAATTGAATTTTTTTTTGGGCAAGCCCGTCGAAATCATATCGCATCAGAGTTCTAAATTAAAAACTAATCAGCTAACAAAATTGGATGTGTATATTGAAATTTAAATAATACATTGCTTTCCACTTTTTTTCAATCACATGAAATAAAAAATGGAAACCAATCTACCAATCTTTTGATGAAATCTATCTCACAGTAATAGATATTCATAAAAACGATCAATTGCAAATATGCTGATATGCACATTTTAAAGCTGATTACGTAAGTTACAACAATAAGAAATTGCAGGATAGGCATCTCTGATTACGTAAGTTACAACATCTCTGTTAAAAAAAATAAAATAAAAAATAAATAAATAAAAAAGAAAAGAAATCATATACCTGGGCGTGCAAGCCACTGTCTACAACATTAATCAACTGCAAAACACGAGCTGCAAGTTCAGCATCTATAAGTTCCTGTGATTCCATACTGAAAACGGGTGGAAAAAAAAGATGTTATAGCTTCAAACTTCAACCATTACATAAAAACCCATTTATAAATAACCACATACCTACAACCAGTGGTTTGCCTAATTTTAAGAATAGCAGCAATAATGTGAACAAGCCACGCAAGTTGTCCTTCAATTATAGCCAGCTCATTGACATCAACGGATACAGTTGATCTTGCCCTATCCTAATCCAACAAATAAATTAAACAGATAATAATATAAAAAATTAGAAAGAAGATGACCAGGAAAAAGAATATATCCGCAGACTTAAAATGAAATTATACCGTGTAGGCCTGGAGGATAGGCTCCATGATCTTTAGAATGTATAGACTACTGCTTTCATACTACAATTTTAAATTAAGAACAGCAATTAATAAAATTAGTATCCTAACAAGGAAACAATAAGGGAATGATTTTTCCAGCAGCTCCTGAAAACTAAACATCAATATTGATGAGAATTGAAAATCAACTCCAAGATATCAACCTGGAATCTACAAAGGTATGGAAAACACTCAAGCTGGTCTTGAAGAAGCTCAACATTATCCAATGGATTCTCAGATAGATCATCAGGGAAACCAGCCTGAAGTAAGCAGTTAGCAAAAAGAAGTAGTTGAAAAGCTAAATACCTAAATCAATGCTCTACCTGGATAGAGTTGAACCTAGAGGTGATGAAACCTTCGGTAATTTTAGGAACAGTTTCATCAAGGAGACTTGGTGAGTCACCCTTCAGATAAGGCACAGATGTCACCAATCTTGACCAAAGTCCCAGGAGATAATATACACTATTGCTGGCCCACTAATAAGTAGACATCAATGAATTAGAAAATAAAACAAAGTTTCCCAAAAGAAATTGCTAGCTTATATTCTGATATTTAAAGAAAATATGTTGAAAGGCTATTCAAACCTGCCAAGATTGCAATGATTTAGTAGTAAAATCTGCAACCAAGCGTATCCATTCACTATAGATTTCCACATTCAAAAGCTCTGACAGCTGAAGGATGCAATGAAGCATTCCCAAGAGTGATAAAAAATGGAATTAAACAATACCAAAATAAAAATTGGACAAAAAATCATAGACTTGTAACCAAGTTCAGTAAACAGAATAAAAGTGCCACCTGAATTGCATTATCAGGTACCAAAATAAAGGATAAGCTTTACCCTTATTCGAGGGTTCAAGTTTTAAAATGCTTTAAAAAAGTTAAATTCAAAGAATTTTATCAAAATCATGATTACTTAAAAAATTAAAACCTCAAACACCCGCCAGCATTTTCCAGCTGAAATAGAAAATTGCAATTCATCTTCGAGACAAGAGCAATTAGTGAATTGTTATGCATCCTTTCACAGGTAGTTGTGATTCAAATCTGAAATTATTTATTAAATGGGAATGCAAATCATGTGTATTGATGTTATTTTATGTCTTAGATCTTATTTCCTAATTCATTTCAGTGAAAAACTTTGCTATGATGATAATGGGTTTTTTTCCCTGGTATTTTGACCTAACCTTTAGATTTAGTTTATTTATTGTTGCAAGTTGTTTCAATTCAACTTGATTCCCTAGCTAAGTCATTTCCGATACTTTGTTATAGTACATTTTGTCACTAATTTTGAAAACCCACTATATGGTAACAAAAATCTGGAGTTGGATTTGGGGGTCACCTAAATGACTCCATGTGCTTTTCCTGTTTGGAAGCATGCCTTCTACAGCTTGAAATTACCCCGGATTGTAGCAAATTTGGTTCCATTCCATATGTGCCATTCATTGGATTCTCAGGAGTATCCTAATCAAGCAACAACCTTCCATCTGAAGTGTACCCTTATTCGAGTTTGTATCAGTTTTTGGATCTTGATTCTATGATTTTCAAATTTTAATGGGAGATTTGGTCAAGCGTGAATCGCTAAAATAAATTTTTCATTTTTTGGAATTTGTTGCTTTCCACTATTCCAAGTGCGTTGAACAGAAATTGATGACTCCGAGGAAATTCTTACTTTGAGTCCTTCATGAGCTATATTTAAGACCCAATGCATGTAAAATTAATTGAACTTTGAGATATGAAATAAAATTTTCAATTCTCCTCAACTCTTGCAAGTGTGCTGTTGCATTTGGATTCTCCGAGCACTTCACAAGTTTTGATGACTGCTTCCAAAGGCAGTCTTCATGTACTGGTGTGAAGCTGGGTCATCTATTGGTGAATCTATCCTTACTCTTTCTATTAATTTATTAATCAGCGTCTATGTGCGTGATTGAAATTTTGTGAAGCATCTGAATCTTGCTGTTGCTGAAGTTCATATTTTCTCTCACTTTTCCTTCTTAGATTTAAAATTTTGACGAGAATTGTTGGAAAGGAAAGTATGATTCATAGTGCAACTCTTTTCAACTTTTCCTTGTCTTCAAAAGAATAAATTAAGAGTTAGTAACATAGGAATTGCGATTTTTTATGTGTTCATTGTGCATCACATCCAACTTAAAATTAGTCAAACCTAGAACATTAATGACCCTCTATCAGCTTGCAGATTGTCATATGTCCAGAGCGGGATTTAGAGCATTGCAAGGGCATTTCCCTAGTACGAGAGAACAATGAAGATTTAGAACTAGTGTACCAATTATCATGCCCAAAAGCAAGAAAGGAAAAAAAAAGAAATAAATAACGAGTGCATTGGCATTGCACATCAAATGGAAAAACTTTTTAAGTAGAGCATAGGCAACAGGGAAAGAATCAAGCAGCAAACTTAAAATTCACATGTACTGTTATTATGGTTTTCTTATTCAAGAGATCTGGACTGTACAAGATGAACCAAGACTTTGTGGTGCCCTCTCTTCTAACAATTTCCAAAGGAAACTAACATGGTAATCATTTGTTAAAGACAAAGACCGGAGAAGGCCAGGCCACTTGTACCTAGCCTTGCTCGAGTACATTTGCTCCTCAATCATCCTAAAGGATAAACCATGAAGAATACATAGAAAGGAATTTATGCTGTTCAATTTCATGATAGGTGTTCAGTTTTTGTCAATTAGCAGGCTTATGCTTGCTTTTACAACCTATTATAAAACTGAACAACTAACATTCCCCTACTAAAGTATGATGGACGAGGCACTAAGGTTAAGCTTTATCACCGCTAAAACTTCCCTGCTCCCTGCCCGTTACTCTTTAAATACTTCACTTTCCTTAAAGGGTGAGAAATGATGCTTTTAAGGGACAACAAGGCAAACTGTCAAATTTTCAAATCAGTCAGAAAGTAGTGCAACAACTGGGAAATCCACTTTCTTAATGCATTGAAAGAGTGGGAAATTACTGTTCCATTTTAATAATGAACTGAATACTAATGTTTCAATGGAACTATGTAATTCTTTTACAAAATGCTCACCAATCACTTTGAGATAAGATGGGTCGCACAGAACTAGGAAATGTTTTGGTGCTTCGGTGTATATTTACAAGCATTCATTTAACTGCTTAGGATAAATTACCACAAAGAACAATAATTTAAGATCATGAACGATCACCTCAACAAAGAAAGCACGCTTGATTTAGAAGTATATAATTCTTTGGTAAGGCAAAGCCTGATGGAAATTGAAAATGCTTTATCAAGGTAACAACTATAGTACAGGAAAACTAGAGAACCAAACTTCCAGGAATTGATATGTTTTCAGAAGAAAATATAGCGATGGCAGATACCTGATAATTCACCTTAAAGCGGCCAAGAAGTCGGCAGAACTCATGATAGTTATGATGATCAGCAAGGCCTGAAGATCATTAAATGCATGACAATCTAATTTAGTTACTTGGAAATGGGCTAAAGCCACCGGAACACATGAACACATGCTTGCATGCTTTTAAATAGCTGCATATCAGTAACTGGCCATAACTAGGAAAAATTATGACTAGAGCTACATAAACCACATGATTCAAATAAGAAAAAGTGGAGTTGCTTGTCTATTCATGTAGGCTTTATTATCTATAAGCATAAAAAAAATAAAAAAAAAAAAAAAAAAAAAAAAAAAAAAAAAAAAAAAAAAAAAAAAAAAAAAATATTATCTATAAGCATCAATCAACAATGTTTAGAGACAGTTACATCCACATAAGGCTAATTGCAACAACAACAACATCAAGCACTACGTGGGGTCGGCTATATGAATCCTTTTTCTCCATTTTGTCCTATTAAAAGTCAAATTCTCGTTTAAAACTAATAAAGAAAGGTCATTCATAATATTTTCTAACCAAGTCTTTTTAGGTCTCCCACTACCTTTCTTAACATAAGTCAAATCTAATACCTCTACTCTCCTAACCGGGTCACGGAAGGCCGCCGTTTTATGTGACCATCTAAGGTGACTCTCTCTAATCTTATCTTCTACTAGAGCTACTCGCACGTACATGATCATTTCGTATCCTATATCTAAGGGTAAAGCCACTCATCCACATGAGCATCCTCATCTCTGCCACACTCAACTTAGTTATAAGCTTCACTTTTAATGGCCAACATTCAGCACCATAAAGCATTGCAGGCCTCACCACATAAGGCTAATTGCAATAGCAAAAAATAGAAGCATAACTTCGATGCACAACAAATGACTTCAATGCACAACCTAGGTAGCTGGACTAGAACGCATGTCCATGAAAATATGACTCTTGCACTCTGTGTACTTAAGGACTATGGTAAAGAACAAAATTAAATTAAACAACTATCCGCTTCAAAACATATGAAAGCAACAAAGAGATTTCAGTAGAAGTTTACAAGAGATGAAGATGAAATAGAAAACATGAACCTTGGCCAATTTGAAGTATTTCTTTGGTTCCTGCCATCAGATGAGCCAGGAATTTTGAGCGAGCAGAATCATCTGGAAATAATGACCGTCTGACAGAAGCAAGCCGAACTAAACATTCCAAAGCCTAAACAAAACAAATAAGTCATCCAGAAAATGAGACTTCATTAGAAGGATAATCCGAGGACATTAAAATCAGGAAAACCAACTTAAGGAGGGAGAAACCAAAAGAAAAATAAATACATGTCACACTATAAACAAAAGAATGCTTCTGCATAAAGAAAAAACAACATTGTGCAGCGCAAAGGATTCCAATCAAAGGAAAAACTAACAAATTTCCTATGTTCTCGGCTCAAATACAAGTTCCAAATGAAATAATGAATTCAAATAGAGCACTAAAGATTGCTGAAATATAATAGATAAAGCCTCCAATCATAATGGAAAACATTGCAGATAAAAAACTTAAAGATCCCAACAGCTCTTCCGACATATCTATAAATTACTAACCGAAGATATTATAGCAACAATATGATAGGAAACACTTGTAGTTTTCAAGTATTTCCTATCAATATTTGGAAAACAGAGGGAAAATAGCAGAAATTCTGCTGTCTACAGAAGAAAACAGCAGAAAAACAGAGGGATTTGAGTGGAAATCTGAAATAAAACCAAGCAAAACACTTGTATTTCACTAATAGATGAATAAAAACAGCAAGATACACTTGATCCTCAATTCGAGAGGAGGATAGATCTCTCCCAAATCTCTAGACGCCGCTAGAGCCCAAAGAAAACCTAAATCTAAGAGATCTCAAATTTCAGCCAAATTCAAGATGCCCAAACCCTAGGAAAAACAACTATTTAATGCATACAAATCAAAAGGAAATCCCTAACCAGTCCCTACATTCAAATTCCCCTCTTAATTTCCCCAAAAAAGGTTCCTATTCGGCTCCCGCAAGGCAAGCGGTGCGCGCGGCCTCCGCCTAGGCGGAAAAACTCGTTGTTTTGTGTGTTTCTCGTCTGAGCCGGTCCCGTGTGGACCCGTTGGACCGGTCCACTCGACCGGTCTAACACAATATCATATTAAAAGCTTAGTCAATCAAAAACTTGACAAGAGGTCTATTTTGGCAGTTATCATCTGCAAACAATCCAGTCCTTTTTTTTTTCTTTGACCCAATAGTTGTCATTCATGTATTCCGTTGACGGTTACTGGGCAATGTTTAAAATGAAGTAAAATACAGTTTCAAGTGAAAAATATCCATCTAAATTGAAAAACACCAAATTGATCATAGATGCTTACCTTATCAGGCAGTGAAATTCTATAAAAAGAAATATTTTCAACAAAGAAGAATCTGTGTTGCATGCACACAGGACAACAACTGGATATAGACATTCAAAAATCTCTGAAGAAAGAATGAATGCATGATGCAACAAAGCACAAGCAAAAACTGAATACATACCTCATTTGAGAGAGGAGGTTCAGTGGTTCCATAGTAATCGAAAAAAATTTGAAGGGTTGAAGAATCTTCTAAAACAGACTTCCAGGAAGAAGGAATCTAGAAAAAATGAGCATCAAGAAGCATATAGTTTAACATACACATTAACAAAATGAGATTTATAGTTACAAACTATAAAGCAACTAGGTAACAATGCCATGGAAAGAAATCACTTATAGACCAACCCTAATTTTACATACACATCAAGTAAAAGCATACCTGGACCGTTCCAAACTCTTCAGAACTCTCATCAAGGGAAGTTCCAACAAAATCAAATGACAAACACCGCAGTGCAAGGGATAGTGTAAGTTGCTTCAACATACTTGAGACTGAATCAATACAAAATTGCATGAAAGTTGTGAGAAAAATGTAATGAAACAAACCAAGGAAATGGATTAAAAGTACTTGGGTACATAATAAGACAAATGGACCTTGCATATTTCCATCACTTTTTAGCTGACTTAATGATGTCAGAGATATTTGGAATATCTGGTAAAGTGACTGATCTCTAAAGCTTGATGCAACCCTTCGATGATGACTGAGCGGCAATCCAGTATTTGGCTAATCAAGTTGAAGAAAAAAATGAAACCACAGAAAGGGTGTAATATCAATTAAGAATTAGATCAAAGAAATATTTTATTCATTAGAACTAGCATATCATGGGAAGCCATTAAGTCAAATATTCTAAGCCACATTCGTTGCAAGGAGACAAGCACATATTTTACTTTTTCACAAGATTTTCAGAATTGCTGCATCATGCATATGACAAGTTACAAGGCCAGCTGCTAAAATACATTTTTTGTTTAAGAATATAAGCATAAGTATACAACAACAACATCAAACTTTTATCCCGTGGGGTTGGCTACATGAATCCCAACAATATAAGCATATGTATGCCAACTTTTATTTCATAATTCCTCCAGGCTCAAGCTCTAAAAGACAAGTTATTGCGGTAACTTTAACCCAACAATTTGGCTTTAAAATAGCATGCACCATGGTATGTGTGTGTGACAATTCCAAGTTGATGAGGAAATCGGAAGATCAACGGCTACGATCTAGAGCTTATTTTATTTTATTTTTGTCTTATGTACTAGTTTATCTTATATTACTGTTTTCCCCATTTTACCCTTTGGAGTGATCATGTAGTGTTGTAGCCCGAAGGGCGTTTTAGTCTTTATTATTTTTCTTTTCATGAGGCCTATTTATAGGCTAACTCTCTTGTATTGTAGGATGATGAATGATTAATGGAAATTTTATTTGTTTCTTCTTCTTCTTGCATGAGAGCTAGAGAGAAGGGAGAGTGAGCTCAAGGTGAGCAAGTGCAAGGCCCACCAGTCGTTGGAAGAGTCCGCAGCTCGTGGTTAGTTTACATCTATCTTACTTGTGTGTTCTTCATCTTCCTTTCCCCAAGTCAATCGCCGGCCACTTCAACCTCCCCACCACCGATGACTCAACCTCCTCCACCATATTCATCTTCTAGCTCCACCGCCTAAATCCCACCCACCTACCTAGCCACAACCCACCACCTAGCCGCCCCCTTCCCCCTTTGCCGCCGGCCCCCTCATTATGATGATTTCAATCACCATAATGACTTCCTAATTTAGCTCAAGCATGAGAGGGAAAATTTGAATTCATTTGAAATTCAAATTTGAATTTCAAATTCTTTCCATATAGGGAATCCCAGATTAAGAAAGTATCAATCATGAATTCAATTTCAAAATAAATCAAATTTGATTTTTTATTCCCTTTCATAATCTTCATCGCCTATTTGGAAACTCCCATATTTCCCTCCCCAATCCTCTCCACCCTCATGATGCTGTCGGCCCCATGATGGGCTTCCCCCCATTAAATGCTCATTTAATCCCTCAATGCTAATTGAAATTTGAATTTAATTTCAAAACATTTTCCCTCCAAATCCACTTAAGCTGAAATTAATTTCAGTTTTCCAATTCCCCCTCCTCTCTCTCTTGGCCGGACCCATGCCCCTCCTCCCCACTTAATTTTCCTTCCAAATCCAGGCCTAAATCAAAGGGAAATTAACTCCAGCTCTCCTCCATTGCTGTCCACACAGTTTCCCTCCCTCCCTTTCATGCTCACGTGCACCCAGTAGGAGGAAACAGCTGAAATTCATCTCCCTGACTGGCTGTCCAGATTTCTGGACAGAGGCTATTTGCTGTCTTGAAATTTTGTACGAATCCTGCATGCTGTCCAGGGATCTCCATCCTTACAAGTTGCTGTCCAAGACTCCTAAGACCCAAAACCTGCTATCCAGACTTCCTCGGTACCGTCCAGACCTCACGAGTTGCTGTTCAAGACTCCTAGGACTTGAAACCTGCTGCTCTGGGTTGCTGTCCAGAATTATTTCAAGTGCCGAATTGCTGTCCCGACCCTCATTGCAGCTGTCTCGGGGTCCCTAGCTGCTGTCCAGTCATTTTTGGTGACCTCCTATGGCTGTCTCGCTATCCATAAGGTTCCCCATCGCCGTCCTGAAGGCTCCCAAACCTCAAGTTGTTGTCCACCCTTCCTCAAATGCTTAAGCGACTACGCCGGAGTGCCGCATTTGTCATTCCCTTGGTAACTTTTCTTCTTAATCTCATATCTTCTTAATTCACCTTCCAATTGTGGTTATAGTTTGATTCACAACGAGTCTTGTTGATCCCTCTGCTAAAGCATAGTAATTTAGGGAGTTGAGTGAAGAATGGATACATCACAGTACTAATCTTATTGTTAACATTGGGATTTATTGTTGAAAACCATTCATGTATGCAACATTAGATTAAGTTGACTGTCTTACGATCTTAACTCCTATGCATGTAATTTAGCCTAAGCTGGTTTTATCGCCTTATTGTTTTAACTTAGCGTTTAAATCGTCATAAGTTTTATTTAATATTGTTCTTGAAATATTAAGCGTGCAATTTTCATTAACTCATCTTTGCATGTACGTTTCACATCACAAGTTCATCTATGACCGCATGGAAAGTTCTAGACTTAATTATAACCAGCAATGCAACACAAATGAGATTGTAAATTCATGTCAATCATAATCACACTTAACAGTTACCACTAATATGTTATAAAAATCATCAACAACGTAACTCTTACTCGGAAAACATCTTTATTAGTTAATGACATCAACTTAAGAAGGGTTTTTTTTTTTTTTTTTTTTTAAAATTTTTTTTTTTTTTGAAGAGAAGCAGCTTAGTTTTCAATATAACATAAGATCAATACAATACATAAAGAACCTGTCGTAAGTTCTCCCTATATTATGGCTTTCTTCCTACTAGCCTAAACCAAGTTGATTAATAACCGGCAAAAATTATTCAATTCAATCTTTATGTCATTCCTCCATCATGAGATCGGGTATAGTTAACCTAATGCAGCAGGCCCCTCCCCACCTTTGTCTTTCATGCATGACCATGTTTTCTTCACCATTCACTTATTCTTGCCATACTCCTACGAGTTTCATTACATGCCAAGATTCACCCCCAATGTGGAAATTTCTTTTAAAAATTGTGAATTGTTCACAAGAAAACGACTCCAAAAAGATGCGTCCTTTAGTAAGATCAAAGAGCCTTCATTTCTACTGCCAGAAAAATAATCCCAGTTGTTCATCTCTTATTTATAATTTATATATAAATTTTCCTTTATTTTGAGCCTAAGATAAAAACAAAAATAAAAGGTAAAGAACTAGCTCTACCCATCCTTATTTACTTTTTCTTTGCTCATATCACTCGATGACTCAAAGTAATTGGTATTTTACCTCTCAATATATGCATCCAACTGCCTTACCTGAAGAGGGGGGAATCTTAGCACCTTTCAAGTGGACACAAATTCTCCAAGTTAATGATAACTCATGTATATCATTAAAATGAAAGAAGTAAGATCATCGATCAAATTCAGCACTACAAAACTATAATAAAATAAAATCCTTAATTTTCTCAATCTTTGCCCATGCAATAGTTCATTCAATGCTAATCACGAGCATCCATGGTGTGTGGTCGCTCAAAAAAAGCACCAATCCACACTTTGAGCTTGGGAATTCTCCTTTTATGAAGTGGATTAGGTTTAATTTAATCAGATTTCATCTTATGCTCATATTAGGATTTATTTTGATAGTCAACACTTTCTATGGGCACAAGCACCAATAGTTAATTATCCCTATTACTTGCAAGAGAGCTCTTTCAATTAAGGATTGTTGCCAGCTTAATTTTAGGCTTAACTTACTATTTAGGTTTAAATAGAGTTTATGGTGGATCTAGGAGAGAACTAAAGTAGTCACGATCAAGATCCATAATTCTGTCATCAAGAGAATACCAATGACCCCGACCTACCAACAATAGAGGATAAGAAGTCATAATATCAAATAATCTAATTAGCAACCACAAGTTACCTCCTCTATGCATTCCAAGCAAACATGGGTGAATGTACATAAGTTTTAGTTGACTTTTATTTTTAATTTATTCATATGCTCATTAGCAAAAGTACTTAGCATGCTTTTAAGTTGGCCCCTGATTTATATCAATTGAAAGGCAAAAATTTAATTGAGAAGGAGCTCACATCCATTGAAAGACCCAAGCTTTGACTGATGAGTTTTTAGCATTGTGACGACCTGAATTAATGTAGCTAGATGTTACATCAACCTCAAGGCTCAATTTTAATTGAGATGGGCCTTAAATCTATTGAAAGGCCAAAATTTTGATAGAAAATATGGGTTTGTGAGTTGTCCAAAAGGTAAGGGCATACAAACTCAACTTTCGGCATGCTCGACTACGAAGTTTACAACTCAGATATTAGACTCAGCCAAAAATATAAGTCTTACAACCATGCAATATAAGCAAGCAACCCACAAAATTAGGCCAAAATAAGATGTAAAGATATTCTAAACTTTAATAAGAGTATTTAAATAAATAATTTTGTTTGTTGAAAGGTTTGAAATTTCCCGATTGCATTTTATTTTTGCGAGGTCAACAGTAAGAATCGATGTATTTTGAGGCATAAACCTCAGAATTAAAATATTAAATTATTTAAAAGTATGAAATAAATAAGAAACATACTTATATCAATGTAAGATGTTGTTAGGAAATACTTGGAGTTCACAAGTAAAACATAACGATCTTTGACAAAAACAACAAAAACGATCCACAAATCCAATGGAAAACAAAAAAAAGTAGTTTTTATTGCAATAATCAAGCTAACGGAAGAAAATAGCAAGATACAATTGATCCTCAATTCGAGAAGAGGGTCTATCTCTCCCAATCCCTAGACGTCGCTAGAGCCCTAATCACCAAACTCCAAGAACGAAATCAGCCACAATAATTTACATACCCCTAATCATCCTATTTCTCTCTTACTTAAAGCATATACCAGTAAGAATCGATGTATTTTGAGGCATAAACCTCAGAATTAAACTATTAAATTATTTAAAAGTATGAAATAAATAAGAAACATACTGATATCAATGTAAGATGTTGTTAGGAAATACTTGGAGTTCACAAGTAAAACCTAATGATCTTTGACAAAAACAACAAGAACGATCCACAAATCCAATGGAAAACAAAAAA